CACTTCTGGGCAAACATATGGGAAAGACCTGTTTGCCATAATTCCCAAGCAGAATGGATACAACCTGACTTGTTAAATAACACACAATCTATGGCTTTTGAGCAAGTACCTATAGCAGTATTTCATAGAGTTTTATCCAAGTTACACAACTGGAAAGCTCCTGGGTCTGATCACATTCATAGTTATTGGTATAAAAAATTCACAACAATCCACTGCCATCTATATAACTTCATAAATTCATTTATACAAGACCCAAAATTAATACCGTCATATTTAACATCTGGCACTACCTTCATGATACCTAAAGATCATTGTGATCTATCTAATCCGGCGAAATACAGACCCATTACGTGCTTACAGACGTTGTATAAGATTATCACATCCTGTATATCTGAATTAATATATGAATACATTGATGCCAACAACATCTTAGCTGAACAACAAAAAGGGTGTAGAAGGTATAGTCAAGGCTGCAAGGAGCAATTAATAATAGATTCGGTAGTTTTAAAAACTGTACAAAAATCTAAATCTGATATTTTCACCATGTACGTAGACTACAAAAAAGCTTATGATTCAGTTCCCCACTCGTGGTTAATTAAAGTTCTAGACATTTACAAAATACACCCATCACTAACAACTTTCCTGAAGGCTGTAATGGGCACCTGGACTACCGTTCTTAGACTTACCACTCCAACCGAAACAATAGACACCAGCCCTATAAAAATACAAAGAGGAATCTTTCAGGGAGATGCGCTTAGCCCATTGTGGTTCTGCCTTGCTCTTAACCCATTATCAAAACTATTAAATACATCAGCAGTAGGAATCCCTTTGAATTCTACTACTGACAGACAATATCACATTTTAAATCATTTAATGTACATGGACGACATAAAGTTATTTGCAACAACAGAGAATCAACTTAAAGAACTAGTAGATCTGACAGAGAAATTCACAAATGATATTAAAATGGAATTTGGCATAGACAAATGTAAAATAAACTCAATAAGAGCAGGGCAGAATTATCAACACACACATATTCTATCTACAGGGGAACAGATTGAATCCCTGGATGAACATGGTACCTACAAATACTTAGGTTACATACAATCAACTCAGATACACCACAAACATATTAAACAAACATTAACACAAAACTTTCAACACAGATTAAATTCAATTCTCAAAACACAACTGTACGCCCGTAACACAATAAAAGCAATAAACACCTTTGCCATCCCTGTCCTCACTTACTCGTTCGGGATAATTAACTGGACAAAAACTGACCTCAAAAATCTGCAGCGCAAACTTAACACTACAATGACAAGATTCCGCAAACACCATCCACGATCTTGCCTGCAAAGGCTTACACTACCTCGAAAGGAGGGGGGTAGGGGTCTAATAGATATTTTAAACCTCCACAACAAACAGATCACTGCTCTAAGAACATATTTCTTTGCGAAATCTGAATCTTCTACACTCCACAAACTAATAGCACAGAAAGATAAACACCTGACACCTCTAAATCTAAATGACATAAGAAAACAGGGAACCGAAACAGTAATTGACGATAGAACAAAATGCTTAGAATGGACCCAGAAGTCTCTACATGGAAGACACCGCCAAGATTTATGCCAACCAAACGTCGACAAAGAAGCGTCGAACGCATGGCTAAACCGAGGCGAACTTTTCCCGGAGACTGAAGGGTTCATGTTAGCAATACAGGACCAAGTGATAGAGACAAAAAACTATAGGAAACACATTATTAAAAATCTTCCAAACGACACTTGTAGAAAATGTAATAGTTCTCCAGAAACCATCCAACATATAACTGGTGCCTGCAAATCACTAGCCCAGACAGATTACAAACACAGACACGACCAGGTTGCTAACATAATTCACCAAAAACTAGCTCACCAATACAAACTCGTCAAAACAGTTGTTCCATATTATAAATATAACCCCGAAACTGTTTTAGAGAACGACACAACCAAACTGTATTATGACCGAGCAATCTTCACCGACCGCACCATTCACTATAACAGACCAGACATCACTTTAATTAACAAAAGAAATAAAACTGGATTTCTAATAGATATAGCTGTCCCAAACACTCACAACGTACAAACTACAATAGCTGAAAAACTATCCAAATATACAGAACTAAAAGACGAGATAACCCGACTCTGGCGCCTACAAAAAGTATTTATTATCCCAATAGTCATATCTTCCACAGGAATCATACCTAAACAACTTTATCAGTCCCTTACCTCTCTGAACCTGCCAACTAATACTTATTACCTGTTGCAAAAGGCAGTTATTCTTAATACCTGTAGGCTTGTAAGGAAATTCTTACAGTGTGAGTCAGAAAATACAGTATCACTCCACTGATGAACACTTGGCTTAGGCCCGTGCCATCAGATATCCCGGCTAGCCGGAGGTAAAAATACAAATAGAAATAATAATAATATATGGAGGCAGGCCCAGTAGGAGATAGCGGGACGAACTTGATGTCTTCGACGAGGATTGGCAGCAGAAAGCTTTGTGCAGAGATAAGTGGAAGAAAGGTAGGGAGGCTTTGCCCTGCAGTGGGACGATAACGGCTGGTAATCTATATCTCTAAGATATCTCTACTTATACCTAATAAATCTATATTGAGGTTAATTCTCTACATGAAATATATTTTAAAAATAACTATCAGGGGGTACTTAATAAGTGATTACCTAATACCTACTGATGCCAAAATCTTTAAAATTTTTGTCTGTCTGGATGTTCCTTATAGAAACAAAAACTACTCGATATATTTTTACCAAACTTGGTACAATTATTCTTTGTATTCCGGGCATAGGATAACTTTCATGGTTGACTCACAATAACACGTGTAACTCCTTAGCTCAGCAGTTTCTGATTATATTTGTTTACTCTCACGTTTATAACCCTCTCACTTATCCCTGATTAAAAAAGTTTGTACCTACATTAGTATCTATTCAATAAAATGAATGATAGAAATCAATATACATGCGTGCACCTTTTCGACGCTATGCTTCAAGATATTAGTCAATATCAATACATATTATGATAAACCGTAAAAGATCGGTGTCTGCACATGGAAGATAAATAAGAAAACCTTTACTAGGGGCAACAAAACCCAAAACAAGGTGTGGTAAATTTCATCTTTGAATAAGTATTAATATATTCACCTCCACACCTACAACCAAGCGGACGAAGTCGAAGGCACACCTAATTTTATATATTATGTACAGATTTGACCTGCCTACAGATTTATTACATACTTACTAGCTCTCTCGCGGTTTCACCCGCTGCTCGGCTCCATTTGCTCGTATCTTGATGTTTTATGGCCTTTAGCACTCAGGAACATTGTAGCTATCGATCAGTAAAAGAATTTTGGTAATCCGACTAGCAGTTCCAAAGATTACCTCCTACATACAAACTTATAATTAGTAAACTTATAAGCCATTGTGAGGACCACCTAGAGGATACGGTAGCGGTATGCCCTGCCTGGGCTGAGCACCGACGTATCCTCAGGGAAGTGATCGGCGGCGGCGACCTCTCGCGCCCGGCCTTAGTCGAGGCCATGGTGCGGAGTGAGAGGAACTGGGACGCCGTCTCCTCCTTTTGTGAAGCAGTCATGCTCGCAAAGAGAGAGGCGGCCCGCGCGCGCCTCAAAGAGCCATTCGACCACCACAGACGGGGCCCTAAAGGGCTGATGTTCAGCCGGGGTTGCGGGTTAAGCGCAATGAGTCACCGCGGCCTCGGCCCAGAGCAGGAGAAGGAACCGGGGGGGTTTTAGTCACTAAGAGTCTGACACTCTCTCCCGCTTTACCCTGGGCGGGAGCGGTCATTTGATGATTTTCCCCTGACAAAAAAAGGCTTATTCATTAATCATATCGTGGTTTCAAAATAACTAATAATGTTCAATGTTTTTTCGTTTTTAAATTTACTCTCGTAAACTAAGTTTATCAGGAAATAAAATATTTCTGAACTGAAATTTAATTTTTACAATTAATTAACGATATGAGACTTTACTTTTGTATTTTTTTGTGAAATTAATAAAAAATGTGATCATGAAACAAATAAAACAGAAATTTTATAAATTGTCGCCGTCATCGCTATCGCTGTTACTTTCTGTAACATTTATTATAAATTATGTCTGTGATTTTTATTGTCAATTAACATATCTAGCTTAGATACTAATTTTTTCCTCGTCTTTGACAACATGGGATACGCTTTTAGACCATTCGGTAGCCGTAATTTTTTGAATGCCTTCCTGAAACTGATTCACTGATTGTTTATCGATTTTTGTGTTCATCACTACACTGTTACATGTGGTATCATTATTTCACAAAATGACAACAGGTTGTGTCAAATCAGGAATCGAATTAAAATTCTGACTATTGTGAGTTTCGCCAGGGAAAAATCTTCAAATGACTTCTCCCGGCAAGGCGAGAGAGAATGTGTTACTGACTAAACCCCCCCCCCCCCTTTCCTTCTCCTGCTCTGGGCCAAGGCTGCGGTACCTCATTGCGGTTGCTTGTGGTCTATTGACTCTTTGAGGCGCGCGCGGAGCGCTACGCGCCATACGGGTCTAGTTCTGGTCGGGCTGCGAGGCCAGTAGCATAGGTTTTTGTTATGGCGGACGATAACGACCGCAGCGCACAACACGGCAGAAATTGGAAACAAATGCGGATGATCAGCTGTCGGTTTTTATTATTATATTCATTTTACAGTAAAACTATTGAATAAATTGTAATTAAATAATGACAAGAATACAATTTTAAGCTTAGGTTTTATTTATATTTGCAAAACAAAATTATAATGTTTACATTGTTATTATTTGACAGCTTCCGCAAATGTTGTAAACGCTACGCGTCGCCACCGTCACGCTCATAGCCATAGCCAATAGACATAACAACATCCTTTGTAAGAAAGAAGGTGGTGAGGCATGTGGATATATGTAAATAAAATAGATATTACTTAAAAGATAATGACTTTTATTTTGCTGATCCAATAAGGAACTAAAGTTAATACATTTTTGGTCAAAGAATAAAACACAGTCAAACATTTTCTTATGAATTCATACCTATTACAAATGCATAATTATCTAAAAATAGGTATTGATTGTATATAATATATTTAGCGATATAACATTATCTAAGCATGCAGCGGATTGCTTAGCATTGCAGCGGGTTTCTGGATACTTTCATACGTCAAATTTTTCCTGAAAACGATTACATTTTCATTAGAATTTACCATTGGCAGACAAATCATAGCGTTACAGCACAACAATCAAGAAATCTTTTTTATACATACATGGCGATCAATTAAGAGGAGTTCAGTTTATTTTATACATCTTAAATTACAAAAATAAAATGAATAAATAAAACAAAATGTCTTCTTAGTAATCTAGTGTTCAATGAATTTTCCGTTAGTCTACTGCTTAGTGTAGATATATTGGTCGAACTCTAAATGTACTCAATAGATAGAAGCAATTTTTTACTTAAGCTTGATACTTTATAAAGAGCAGGTTCAGCGCTATAAAGAATACTTTTTTGGCGAGATCACCTTAGTACCAGCTTCTCTTTCTAGAGGGCACCCAGCTATGAACCATTTAATTAAATAGTTACCTGCCACGATGTTTTAGACCAGCTAGACTTTTTGACAGTGCATAGGTATGTAGACTGGCTGTACGTTTTCTATCTCTTATACTAGGAGAAGTACTCTAAGGAATTTTTTGGTTTCATCCCTGCCATTTTCCAATCGACTCACAACAGCACTTTTATTCCCAGCTGGACAGCAGACAACCATTGTTCGATTTTTGAGAATTGAACCAGAAGCAAAGCTTTTGTATACCTAATCCAATTATAATTTCGCCTGCTGTATTTTCGAATCGATACGACCTTCGAACCTTCAAGAAACTAGTGTACCTGCAAAGCACTCGTGACTTATCTGCTGTCGGCCTCCATGGGCGGTGCTTTATCACTTACTATGAGGTCTACTACATAGGTATTTTGAAACAATATCTAGAACTTTTCAATTCATTTAAGTAAAATAAAATGTATGAAATAAGCTGAATACCTCCTAATTCCACACACAGCCACCCTGTACTATGTATACTGACCTGGCAAAATATACTGACCTATATTGTTTATACACGCGGGCAAAGTGTATTTTGTGGACTACGTAAATTGTTATAAACAGACACAGGCCAATGATAAACGAGGCTCCAAGCAGCGCTGGGAACTGTAACATAAAAATAAAAACTTAATGTAGACAGTTGACGCTAATGCTATAAATAAATGTCAGGTTCCTCTACTAAGATGGCACTCTACTTGTAGTAGCATGCACCTCCTACTAAAGTAATATAACAATACATTTAATTCTTGGATTAGAGGAGAAACACCCCTAGGATCCAAGCAGCACAGCACAGCCTAGCAACAACGTATTGCATCATTCTACGTATTTATTTTACTATAAAGTAAATTGGAATACAAATAGTAGGTACACATAAGTTAGAGTAGCAGTATTACAAGTGAACCTCTGCAGAGATAGAAACGTCTAAGAAGAAGAAATAGTTTTACATGAGTACAATATGCATATCTATTAAATTAACTGAGTATCTAATATAAATAATAGTAAGGTAAAGAAACTATTTACAATTTTATAATAATAATTGTTCCGTGACAAACAAAGAAGACTAGCCACAAATATTGATATATGATAACATCATAACGCAATGTAGGTATCGATGTTTACATTCAATGCTACCAAAACAGTGTAATCTGTTTATCATATTACCATTACACACATAGTTCTAATAATACTGTATGTAACAAGAGTAGTTGATTTACTGTTCAATGTACACATTACATTCTTTTCATATTTATTCAGTACTGTTGTCTACTAGTCAATTCTGATTTATAATAGGCAATACTACCAATGCTTCGCGTATAGGAACAGGGTAAAAAGCCTGTATCATTTCAGACCCTTTCTCTGACGAAATTTCATTTAATTTCGTTCAATAGTTTCATGTATAAGAGTAACAAAATATCGACAATCTTTCGCGTTTATAATATTATTAGTAGGATGATATCACTTTCAATTCTTATACTTTCAATATTATTACTTCATTGGTGATAATAACAATACGACAACTAAACTAAATCACAACTACAGATCTACTTCTATTGTTCTAAGAATATGCAAATTCGATACATAGTTCATCAAGATCAGTTTACCTATTTTGAAACTTGACGACCCTTGTTTAACTTATAACTGAAAAATATTAAATTAAATAAGTATTAATCACTACTTATATTGTAAGCTAGGAAGTCAAGTTTTTAATTTAACTGGTAATTATCAATTTATTCATTTACGATTAATAGTCTATTTAAGCTCATGCATGCACTCTGCATCTCATAAGACATTATTCTTACCTGTTTCTTACATTCTTCTTCCCAGTTTACGGATATAAGGTTATCATACAATTTCTTAAACCTTTCCACCGGACAAGCTTCGCCACAGAATGGTATCTTAAGGATATGCGGCTCAACAATCTCTGTTGAATTCCTGTATGAAATTCTTACAAAGTGTTCACCTGTTTTATCTGAAATTTAGTTGTATTTTTTTTTATTTAACTGAATTTATAATTAAATGTCTTATTTTATGCGGACCAGGGTGTCCGACTCCGACATTCTATTAAGGACTAACTTTAGGTAATTTAGGTTTTGCAAAAATTTGGCAATAGATTAGCTAACTATTATACGGGACTCAGTAATGTACCTCATTATGAAATATAGTGTGATGTTCCATAAAGAAAACTAAAAATTAAAAAAATAAATAAGACATACATACTTGAATTCACCAGTTCCAGTAATATAGTTGATGTGTACACCGGGCAGTTTCCATCATACAGACCCAGTGCATTGAGTACACTGCCTACAGTCAGGTCATGTCCACTGTACATCACCACCTTATGACTCTTATTACTTCCAGACAAAACTTCCGACATACGCGTCATTATCTGTTTGAGCAAAGGACCTACTTTCAGTCGAGATAGAAGCGGAGATCCTGTTTCAGTCTTAAAACTGTAAGGAAAACGAAATATTGAAGATGGTTAAATAAAGTTTGGTATAATTAATTTATGTTTACATTACTTGAACGAATGGTACATTTCTCTTATTACTTATGTATGCTATTGATTCATTACTGCCATAAAATGCATTCATTGACTTGTAAATGCAAGTCATCATGCTTGATATTGCATCAATTCGCTCGCAGTGAGCAGGGAGATTGGCGCCTTCCTTTCATTTAGTGATTAATTGCTTCCTGTACGAAGGTATCAGAACGCCTCGTGTCTAGAGTTAGTATGAGAAAACAAAGGTGACGATAGCAATAAATGAACACTATAGTTATTTGAAATATTCCATTATTACCTGTGTCTATATAAATACAGTAAAATATAGAAATGGTGAGAATACTAACCTGTAGCACGCTGGTTCGCGCATTTCATCAGGAAACACAGATTGTGTCCAATTTGGCAATGTAAAATTATATAGAGTCTCAATATATAAAGTACTATAAATATCAACAATGTCATAATAATCCTTCACTTTGATACCTGAATATGCTGACAGATAACTGAAAATTAAAATGTATCATATGAAATAAAATATAGGTAATAAGTAATCTTCTGAACACGTAAAGGGGTATTGCAATGACAGCATTCCCAAAATGTTGAAGAGGATATTATGTTCTTTACATTCTAAGATCTACTTGCATTGCGAAATTGACAATAATCCTAACAATATTTGTCTTTAAAAAGAGGTTATGAATCAAAGTTTGTTGTAACAACTGAGACCAGAAAAAATTATATTATTACATTACAGAATATAACATTTAACATCAAACTTTATCTACAATTTTTGTGATAATGAAGGTAAGTACATGTGTTTTACAACTTAAGTTATAATTATTCTAGATAACACAGTAGTTAAATGTATGTATTGATCCTACTATCTAATATTCTTGTTATTTATTTAGCTTAAACAAATTTTGGTATCAAAATTATAGCACTATACTTATTTTTAGAAAAATAAATGCTTAAGAGGGTGCCAGATATCAATATAGAATCATTTTGTCTCGAAGGTGTTGAGCTGAATTACGCTTATTGAGTTATTGTAGGTATTAGAAAGCTCAAATCTCTCTCATTTTATTTTAAACTAGTAAGAAGGGATGTGCCCCTCATCATTACGTTCTTTATACATCCTGGCAATAAATATGACTAATTGACTAGCTTCCTAACGGTAACAGTTTTTTTATCTCAAAGCCATGCTAGTAATTTTATTTGTCTTCATGCTATAAGTGTATGTATTTACTAGATAACATTGAGTTGGGTAAAATATTAAAATCTGATGTACCCTTTGGATGCAATAATGCTAATCTTCTTATATATAAAAATGGATCGCAAAATGTGTTGGTAAGCGCATAACTCAACAATGCCTGGACCAATTTTGATAATTCTTTTTTGTTGTGTTTGTTATTGTCAGGAGAGGGTTCTTTTCAAAGAAAATATTAGAAAAGTGGAGGGGAAGATAAGGAAAAGTGACCCTTTGATAGCGAGATAATTGGACCCGTGCCAAGCGGGGGCGGGCCGCTAGTGATAATTATAATCAATAACTATTATACCTATAACAGGTATAATAGTTATTAATTATCAAAACCACATCAGATTAACCTCAGCGGATTTGTTGTGTGTGTGTTATTGGGAGCATAATAATATCAGTTGCCACATGTGAGAAACTCGCATTCACTCAAATCTAAATAATATAATAACTATTAGCAAAAAGCTAAGAGGACGAGAAAAACCTAATTAAACAATTCTAAAGTTAAGATTTGTCATTCCTTGACTAGCTACGAAGTGAATACATCTTCACTTCACTTCAGAAGCATAAGAGCTAAATGTAATTTAGCATTTTGTCCTTTATGTCTCCAAGGTTTAAAAACAAAAAAATTGAATGAACTTACTCCATCAAATGCTGGTATTTACTCAGTCTTTCTTTATATGGTTTGGAGTGCTTTAGCCTCTCTAACTCCGTGTCATAAGCAGGGCATGGCTTCCTCATAGCAAGTAGTTCATCTTCTAGTTCAGGAACAGTGTGGACTGGTATTGGCTGCCAGTTTATTTCATTGTTCCACACAGTTTTACTCTTTGGTGGATACATTCCTATTTGAAAATAACATGTTTGTAAATATATGTATGTACAACATATTTTAGAACATAATGCTCATGCATATTGTAGAAAAATATTTTTCACACCTGCTAGATTAGCTTGAGCTGACATAAGAGTCCGGTCAACGTCTGTCGACCGAATATAAATCTCTGCAGGATCAAATGCGTCTGACAATAAATGCTGGAATAAAATAATTTTTCAATTGAGACACTGACCATGAAATGTTTTTGCCAAAGCAACATTACATTTGCTATTGCCAATTACATTGAGTTTTAATTAGAAAGTATAGAGGTACAGAAGGCTAAGAAGGTCGCTGTTGCTTGAACTTACATATTAAACATTGCATGAATGACACTAACAGTTGGACAGTACACACAGCAATCACTTTTTCCTCTATTCTATTACATTAGACAATAACAATGTGCTAACAACAGAATAATAAGTAACTAGTTTAAATAACATAATGAACAATGAGGTCAATCACTAAATGTAAGACATAAATATCTAGCTGTAGGTATTTTACTAATCAATATCTTTTGTTTTAAAAAGAAATATTTTAAAGACCATTTTTATCATGTTGATTATTATAACAATGAAGCTCAATGATCAGATTACATGTGATGATGCTATTTATTGGAAGGATTAGTGCTAGCTTTGTCTAAATACTTAGACAAAGGAGGTATCATCTTACCGAATATCTTTGCCTGAGCCACTTTCCCAGCGCGTAATGTTGTCGTTTCCCAACATTTGTCAGCTCTCCAAATTTCACAGGCCACAAAGATTCGTTCCGCCATGGATCTGTGGGGTAAGGCTCTACTGGTGTCCTATCCCCATGTCTAAATATAACAGCTGCATATTTGACACTCTCATCAGCAACAATATTTGTAGTAAATATCAAAAACAATAAAAAGGAAATCATTTTTGAAAAATACAAATAGTAAACTATATTATAAAAAAAGCATTTGTAAATGTGAGTTTTTTAATCAATATTCTATTTAATTAAACCTTCCATCACAAAATATTTCCACTAAATATACGGTGTGTCTACTAAAAGGGATAATAGGTATGTGTAGTTGCGTACTGTCTAATACATTGAGGTATCAAAATAAAACTGACTGAACGAGTGAAGGAACCTGGAAGTGTGTCATTTGGACTGAGATTATTCCACAGACTAAAATTGTACATAGAGACTAAAGTGTTGTATAGAGTGGCTTAAAAATCGACTAAACTAAAGATTCGATATATTTAGTTTAGTCGATTTTTTCATAGATTGTAAACATTGTATTATAATGTTTTCAATCTTTGTACATAGTTCGAGGTACATACCTAATCTTTATAATTTAAATAAGAAGTACAATTAATGTGCCAGCACTTAACTAATGCTTATTGTTAATTAAAATTAAATGCAGAAAATAACAAATCTGATCTGTTACGACTACGTATCTGAGCTGCACTCACGTTAACCTAATCTAACATACCAAAGTACACCCTATAAGCGCCTATAAGTATATCCAAACTGTACTGAAAACTGTCAATGCGGCTCATTTATCTACGGCGCTATTACTCTACGGCTAACCGTGTGGACTGACGCATGGCGCTGAATACAAATATTTATTCAGCCGCATTCAATCAGGCTAATCGTTAAAACGCCTTATTCCAAAACGATCCTGTTTTTGATAATAGCTAGCTGTACCTAAAAAACGACGTATTATGCAATACGACTGCGACATACACATTTGAATTATCAACATTTATGAAGACCTTTAGTTTGCTTTAAGAAAAAAAAACCAAAAGTGCACATTACTCCCGTGTGTGCATTATATTGACCGGACAGCTAGCGGTTTTTTGGTTGTTTCATTATTGACTAGGTACCTATTTAATATTTCCTCAAATTGATGCTAACGCGCTGTGTCGTATAATGCCGACCAATTCAAAATTAACGCTTTTTCAAAATAAATTGTTTTTGTAGGTACTTGTGTGGCTCTTTCCTACTCCGTACAAAAAATAATAAAGGCTACCCTACCTAATGCCTATCACTATCCATCCAACCTGCCACGATTAACTGAAGATAAAAAAGATTGAATACTTTTTCAGTACTCAGCTATTGATAAGCCCATCGTCATGATTGTCATCGCAGTTATCATTGGAATATTATTAATAATTATGTGTGCGAGAGCCGTGCTTCCGCGCGAATGGGCCGGCTAGACCATACTCTGGTCTCATACCTCGTCCTCATAGAAAACTGGCGAGAAGCAATACTTACGTAGTTTTTCGCCATGTGAGTGAGATTACCGGACCAGTCCACCAATAGACCCCTCCTCCGTCCTTACCCCATCCTCTATCCTCAAATCACCTATCCCCAAATCATTAACAACACACAAGAGGCTGGCAACAGTGGCAACGCACTCGTAGTAAATTCTTTGGTATTGCGAGTATTCATGGGCGGCGCCGCTAGCTTACCATCAGGTAATCCGATAGTTTGTCTGCCGTGCCGTCACTTAAAAAAAACCGGCCAAGTGCGAGTCGGACTGGCGCACCGAGGGTTCCGTACAAACCTGCAAGTCTAAAAATTTATGGTTTTCCGAATTTTTCCTTTATGTGTGCTATAAAACGTTGCTTCATGCCAAATTTCAAGATTCTAGGTCGACTGGAAGTACCCTTTAGGTTTTGATTCCCTTGCGAATACTTGCGAGTTTCAAAATATGCAGCTTAAATTGCTGTTTCTTTTGATTGCGTTGACATAGAAGTTTGATTTTGTTACAGCTTAAAGGTATTATAGACCTGGGTATTTGGTATGAATTTCAATTTAATACCTCTACGCGTTTATGAGGAAATGGGTAGTAAGTTTAAAATTAATAAAAAATATATATATTCTGTGATGTAACTAAAAATTTATGGTTTTCGTAATTTTTCCTTTATCTATGCTATAAGACGTTGCTTCGTACCAAATTTCAAGATTCTGAGTTCACGGGAAGCACCCTGTAGGTTTTGATTCCCTTGCAACTTTCGAAAATTTGCGGTATAAACGGCTGTACCTTTTGATTGCGTTGACTTAGAAGTTTGATTTTCTCACAGCTTCAAGAAACAGTAGACCTAAGTAATTGATATAAATTTCAGCTTCATACCTCCACGCGTTCCTGAGAAAAAGGGTCTTGACAGACGGACGGACGGACGGACGGACAGACGGACAACAAAGTGATCCTATAAGGGTTCCGTTTTTTCCTTTTGAGGTACGGAATCCTAAAAATGATTTTGTTATTGCTTTAAATGCTGATATCTACAACTCAAAATAATTAGGTAAGTAAATAGTCCTGCATCAACCGGGGATTGTCCTTGGGTGCACTTTTATAGTGCATACAGGGATAATTGCCGGCTGATGTCCCATTACATTTAGATTAAAATTGTTCAACGGGTTTCTGCGAGTTGGCTTCGGCTCCTCGTATGCCTTCCAAAGGTCCGGGACCCTGTGGTCCCGTGAAAGGAAAGAAGGTAAGTATTAGGTAATACAAAATACTTACCTAAGTTAGTAAAGTCCTTAAAGTCATGCTAATCTTCGCGTAGACTTCATTTTTAAATTCTTATGCTGACAAAATTAATGGGTTGTAAGTATTTCAGCAACGATTTCTCTGAAGATGCAATGTACCTATTTGTATCTATTTATTTATTTTTTGTAAAATTCTTTTAAATACCTAACTGTAAGACAATGGCGTTTTCTCATACCTAAGGCTGACTGACTTTTTTTTTGTAATTTTTATGGTGACGAAATTAGAGGGTTATGTCAGTGTGTGTCTTTATTTAAATACATAGTTATATATCTACTTTTTGCGTACTAAGTATAGTACATTCTAAAAAGACAGATCATGGTTGTCACCTTGTAAATAAACGCATTATATGACCAATCCTCCTTGAAGAATACTTTCTGCATACCTTGGCAAGAAAGACTCAGTGTCAGTTTGGGACCAAAAAACTTTAAATTCTAGTAATTTTCTCGTACTTATTGAACATTCCTACCACAACATCACGCACATGCACAATTAGTTAGCTTTGTTTGTGGTCGGTGGATATCTCTATAAACTCTTCGTGTACCTAAGTGATTCCATTCACACGAAGAGTTTCTTGTACAACCGCTCCTTGAAATAACTTGGTTGACACGTATAAGTCATATGCTATTATAATAGGTTGTCAGAAGACGTGCTCCATCGTTGCCCACCTTTCGCTCTCCACTCGGTGGGCAATGCCAAAAACCAACACATGATTTAAATAATAAATGGTCCCATTTCTAATTTCGAAATTTTCTAACACTCACATTGCGTTTGGAATCGTCTTGAAAACAACGTCTAGGTACCGAAATGTTTTCAGTAGAGTTCTGTGCTACCTACTCGATAGTTAGTTTTTTTGGCCACTGGGGCGAATAGTTTGCTTACTTAATTAACTATCAAATATAAGACTCATTACCTAACAATAGCTGACTGACACTTTAAACATTAGATAGATATCAATAGTTTTATTTACGATGAAGTCATCATTCTTAAAAGTATTAAAGTTAATTTGGTTTTAACGTCCCTGTTTCCGAATGTAGGTAGACAACTACCTATACAACATCGTAATCGCTGCAGTAGAGAACTTAGTGCTTCTTGCTAAGATGTGAAAGGTCACCTAAACTCACATTTAAAATCAACTGATGCAAAGTAGATAGGTACATATATATTATATTATGTAAAATGAAAGATACAACTCATTACTAATTCAATAATATTTAAAAATATAATGTTGCAATATCAAGAACATATTAACAAAAAATAATACATAATAAACCCGTCACAAAATTATAATTTTTCTAGTTTTATACACATTTTCAAGGAGACCTTTCCTAAATGCATTGATGAATTAATTAAACGGTATATTTCGTAAATTAAAAATGTCTGATTAGGACATACTTGTCTATGGATTATTTTTAGACTGCTACGGCCTCATTATTGTGTCGTTAGTGTTAGCTCTTCTTCAGTTTTATGAACAAACTAGATTTTTATAAGTAATGGTAGGTATGCAATGTTTAACGGCCCAATGTTGCAAAACATGTAGTCAGTCCACACACTACGACAACTTACCTCCACAACAGCAGGACAGGTTGAGGGTCACGTGCTGAGCGTGCTGTGCTCAGAGGTTGCCTAGCGGAAACTAGGTTTTAGTCAGCGAGTCAAAAAAGAAAAAGAAATATCATCAAAACTTCCTTAGAAAGAAGGATTCTTCACAAATTTGTAATGATAAATTCATTTTCGGATTTATAATACAGAATATATATAACAAGTATTATAAAAGGATACAATTTGTAAGTTTGTATGTAGGAGGTACTAATCTTTGGAACCGCTGCTCTGATTTCCCAAATTCTGTCACTGATAGTTAGCTGCAACGTTCCTGTGAGAGTAGGAGAGCCAAGCTTCGGCACGAACCACGGCCTCACAGAATATCGGCGTGAAACAACCCAGCATTGTGTTTCGCCGTGTGATTGAGGTTACTGGAGGCCTAATCCCTCCCTTTACCCTATCCCTTCCCGATCCTTTTATCCGCAACCCCTATCCCCAAAAGGCCGGCAACGCACTCGTAACTCATTTGGTGTTGCGAGTGTCCATGGGCGGCGCCGATTACTTACCATCAGGTAATTAATCCGTCTGCTCGTTTGCCGACTTATACCATAAAAAAATCTACCTTCATCAAAGGTTTGACATTAAATACTTAAAATCTAGAAACAGCCTGTTACTTTAAGCTAGGTACAATAAATACTTAGGTATTCAAAGATTCTGTCTAATTTACAATAAAATTATACACCCAGTCAACAAGTCTAAGCAAATATGCTCATATAACAGCAAACATTGAATTATTTTTAGATTGCCTAAAACTGTGATTATGTCCAGTTTTAATCCTTGAAATAATTGTGACTAGAATAAAATTCATAATATACATTACCTATGTACACGTCATCTGCATCTGCGAGGACATTCACTTAATTTACTCATAGTAGGTACCAATGCCCGGGAGACACGGAAACATTTTTTACTTAAATAATTAATTGATCAATTCTTATAATTAAAAGTAGGTAAATCGGTACCTTCATTGGCAACCGTACCGACTTGAGTGACGTGTGCAGGGCCACGGCCCCTAACTGTAATATTTTCCGGTAAAACAAAACTTATATGCGATGAAGGGCACCTGATGTCATAAAGCTAAGAAAGTGGGTTGCCTGAGCTACCTCTTACCTACATATTATAAGAATACAGATAAATGAAATGCATATTCAGAAGATAAAACTGTTACCTACCTACTGAAATGAGTCTTGTAAAAAACTCTCTCATTTATTTTTGAAGGCTCTACTACGGAACTAACATAGATCTCTAGTCACTCAAGGAACAGGTTGTGATTATAAAAGATAGATAAAGGATAGAGGTAGCCTGTCTGAACAGCTTTTTCACGTTACTTGTTAAACCACAATTCTTGAATTCATTCCTTTAAGAACATCTAGACAAGCTTTTTTCATAGAATCATCACCGGAACGGATATTTCGTCTACATGTTACATAATAAAATTCCGGAGAATCATCTCACCTATGACCTCAACGAAAGCGCCGGCGCGGGCGTACGACCGCACTTATATTTATTATCTATCATGCCATTACTAATCATTAAAATACAATGTGCATGTCTATCTGCCAATAAATCTCTACTTTTGTTATGCAATCGACGACTATTTAAGTATCCTTTTGCTTTCCCTTAGCCAAATAATTAACGAGCTAATCATAAAATACAGGTGACCTATCTAAAGGTAAAAGTTCATGATGCGCCGAGCAGGAAGTCCCGTAAAAATGTCAATAGCGTTATATTATTATGCACATATATCATAGCATGTTTATGTAGCAAACCGTTAGAATAGTTTCCTAAATTATGTTTTGTAAGCATGTCACGATATGGTGCAGCGCCGACGACTCGGAGACGTCACAACAGGATTTACCAAGTGTAAGAGGCTAGCATTGAGTTAAAGGTGCTATTTAGACAATGTTCGGCATGTGGTTGCGCGTGCGCCGCATGAATATAAATCAGGCTAGTGGTGCCTGCGCCGGGCACCGGGCGGTGGTGGCGGTGGCGGTGGTGGCGCGGCGCGCGGCGGGCGGACCAAAGCAGCGACATCCACTTGGAGTGTAGGTACCGGAGGTGTTCGTGTTTCGACGGCAGATCAAGCGTGGCCTCCGTCGATTGTAGACCTGCACAAAGCCGTGCCGTGGAGAAAGGACCGACACTCGTTCCACTTGCGACATCACCAATTCCACCACACAAAAACATGAAGATTCTACCCCTGTGAGTAACCTTAACTTAATATTGTTTTTTTTTTTATATTTTCTTTGTTTTCATAGATCTTTTCTTGGGAGCCTTTCAATAAATTAAGCTCTGGTGCAGCTGTGCGATTGCTTTAGCGATGTCTATTTATCTGTATAACTCAACACTAGTTGCTACTAACTTATTATCCCGCTCTCAAGTGTCCCACAGACTTAAGTACACCGTTACCTTAGACACCGTTTCGAATAATACTCTTAATTAACATTTGTTGGGGATTTCGCACGGCGATATAATTTGAAAGGCAAGTTAAGTGAACGATTGTGTTGGATCGAAGTGTTGGGTATTGCCTTATAACCTATGACGAAACATAAAAACGTAATCATAAATACAATATAAAGTCAGGAATGTTTACGGCGTGTGTTGCCTTTCTAATATCATTCTCAATGGTCAAACGTAATACGAACGCACCCTTGTACTTAGTGCAACTGACAACTTGCGGACATTATAATGAATGCCGCCTACGGCTCGGTCAGCCGTTGTAACTGTAACATGTTACTTCACTGTTATAAAATCAATTTACACGTTTCTAGTGTGGCCTATCTGCAGATTGGGCAGGGTGGTCGTAACTAATATTTCATAATTTGTTGACTTATAAACCTCATTATAAAGACCGCGGCCTGACCCGGCGTAACAAACTAATTAATTTTCAAATTAATTGAGCGAAACCAAGAACCGGTTGTATGAATGAGTCGGTCCCATGTTGAAAGTTGGTCCCGCGACCTACGATTAGGCAATGTAACGTTATGTAGGATGTGGCAGACGCAGCCGTGCCTAGGCTCCCGGCAGAGGCACTTGCAACTTAACGGCTATCATTGTTATGTAAAAACCGCATCTTCTTATGTACATGTGTGCGGATGAGTATCCCATCGCAAGCTTACCCACAACTACCTTCTGTATTACTGCAACATGTCACTTCCTAACGTTGCCGCGTTGTGTAGAGTTCAATAAATGTTAACGTTCTAAACTCACTTGTGAAGATATCTATTTGAAATGTGACAAAAGACCTAAGTAGTTCGTTTTCAACAAGCAATCAAATTCCAGGTTCACAAGTCGAATCTTATGGGCATGTGGATAACGCTTGTAAAGTTGCAATAGCCCTTGATCGTATTTTATCGGTCTTCTGAATGTTCAGAGTTTAAATAAATATTCGCATATAAATTCAGAAAATATCTTGTTCTGCATTAAATCGTCGTAAGAAGTTTTACAAATCACTTTGTCTGCGCGTGTGTAGCCTTTTAACGAAACGAAATGCAGAGCTACACTTCGGTACTTAACTTAGAATATATTGATCTTATTTTACATATTCCGTGTGTTTAAAGCCAAAAGTGATAAAAGATCCTTTGTAGCAGTGAGTTTATTAACATGAAGATTTACATACACTGTCGTAACATCAGAATACCATTTCGAAAATAGCAACTGAGAATTGCAACAATTGCCTTGTTTTTTAGAATTCACCACATTACAAACTTTCACGTATCTACATTTAATATTAAATATTTGCAACAATGTTTGCGTAAATAAGGCTTCAAAACGGAAAATATTATATCTGGATAATTGAAACAAGGTTTAAGAATTAGTGTTTCTATATTTCGCAATGTCTGTCGGTAGGTACCTAACTATTGATAATGAATGCAACAACTTCCAGTTGCTGGCCTCAATTAATATAGATTATAATGTATTAAAATTCTCCGTCAGTTTAATTCAGTTTTCTGACTTACTGATCAATTTTGGAGTGTTGTGATGTTAAGCAATTGAAGTTTATTCAGACAATAGAATGTGTGGGTTGCCTCTAAATTATGTTGTTTGTAATCTTCCCACATCATATATCAAGCTGATTCATATCTTAAAGAGATGCGCACAGATCAGGTCGCTTAAAGTTATGTGCGCGCAACATCTGTAAGACAAAGGCGTGACTGGATACAGATGCACTCAGTAACATCGAGCACTTGCCCAACGACGGCATTAGCGCGCACATAAGACATTTGGTAATAAAACAAAGTTGCTCAACTAGACGATTGACATTTGCCGATAAAATCAGGAGACTCGAAGTATTCAGTGTTTCGTAGTAGCTTCCTAGATCGTATTTATTATGACGACGAAAAAATAAAACAATTTTCAACGAAGCTGCTCAATCGCTTATAAATACCGAAAGCTTTCGCGGTGATTCGCATCACATGATTGAGTTACTCAACAGTTACGAACCTACATTCAACTGTGAGAAGATTCGTGCCGAAGCTCTTATTGTTTCTCAACTTATTGGACTCATGTTAGATCTGCATCAAACGTGTATTCTTTTATTTACATCCAGTTATTTCGAGAGTTATTGTTTTACCGATTGCCGAAATTCGTGGGAAGAATGGTGCAATAAATTTTTGGGTCATGCGATACAGTGACCATATAAAGTGAATTCCTGCCAACATGCGTAATTCCGTCATGGCTGGGTGCAGAACAGTGACAAGTGCGCCTGGGGGCACAACACTACTGTTTGCCGCATTGCACTGCGAGGTCAGCCTACTTTTTACCACTTCTGGTTTCTGTCCGACTGACCTTGACGTGATTTGAGGTTAACTTTACACATTCGGTGCACCTACACACGTGCGACATAGTAAATTACATTGCCTAGTATAGAAAGCTGCACTTTTCCAACGTGACTTGAACTGTAATTAGGAACATGATATCTACTCAAAAGACAAATAACAAACAAAAGTAGCGCACTCCTTTCACAAAATGCAGCGGCACGTCTATCGGCGCGCTATGAAACATTCGCAAAATAACAATCGTGGTGATTTGTGCTCACATAAATGGCACACGTGAAGGCGCATAACATTACTTGGACAATGCGTGCGGGTGGCACTGTTCGATTGAGAATTATATAAAACAGAGAAAGCAAGGGAAGTCGTATCGGAAGCGGATACGGAATTGAAGCGCGCTCCACCTGACCCGACCCTGTGCGGGACTTGTTATACAACTATCTATGTAGTAAAGCGACGGGTTGACCTTTGTCTGACGCAGCAGGCGCATGGTGGTGCTCTGAGGTTCTCGCTACTCACTGCCGACCCGGAGGTGGTCGTCATGTTGCAGCGCTCGACATTCACCCAGCCTCGGCATGCCATGCCTCGTATTTGACATTTAACGCCATTGAACTATGCATGTATTAAACATGCGTTAGCTTCCAGCAAAAAACTCATTTGGCCAAGTTGTTTGTATGCATGCGTAGACGGTAATTTACATACAGGTACATAGGAAGTAAATACAGTGATGTCCTAAAAACCTTTAAATGTAGCTTGTAAAAGTGATAACAATTATGTCCACTATGATAACATAGTTGTCCCCTTGAACTTAAATATAACCTGACCTTTTTGTATATTTAACTGCTTCTAATTATGTTGAAATGCTATTTTCTATTACGTGACTCTTACATAAGTAACTTTATATTAGACAGGCATCTATTAGAGTTATGTAAAAAATATGTTTGCGACAATTATAGCAACTATTAGTTACACCTTTCGAGTAAACATTTTGTGATGTAGTGATAAATATTTATATAATGTTGCACGTCTCGTATACTCAATAATTGATCGTACAAGGATAACACAAATTCGCTGCGCATGACACTCATGACATATGACATTATGAATTCGAGGAATCATTCGTCTTTCTTAGTTGTAGTTATAGGTATTTAAATTGCGAATATCAAACACGTACATGAATAGGTACTAGGTATGTAAGCTTCTATTATAGATATCCCTGACATTTTACATCCAGTTAAATAACTATGCAGAAAAGTCTCGACACTGACATGCCTGGCTATTATTATTACTTGCATCAAAACTCACGATTTAGTAATACACTATTTTAAAATTAGTCAAAATTCACTAATTTACCTCATATTATATGCATGAAGCATATAGATTGAGTAAATATCTTATGCAAACATAATTAAATACGAATCTGCATATACATTTAACATTGCCGTATCCGATGGTCCATTATGTTTGAAACAGCCTTAGATTAGAATGTGTAACTTAGGACAGGGTATCGTAAATATCTGACAGAATATTGAGCAGTGTATTAAATATCTATTAAAACATACCAACTGGTCTGAATGTGGTATCGTTAGACCTGGTTTGAAATTTAGTAAATGATCACTTTGCGAACTAGATAACAACAAAGTCAGGGTTGTATTAATTTAGTCCGACAAGGCTGTGACTGGAAGGGATACCAGTAGCGTTAGGATAGTAATATGAAACAAAAGTACGTCTTTCAATTATGTATGCTTATAGGTTTAGGAAAATAGTTCAGAGGCAATCTAGTATGCAATTATATAATTATAAAACGATGCTTTGAGGTAATAAAACAAATAAATAGTTAGCTCAAAAATGATGAAGTTTGATTATCTTATATATTCCTTTTTTTCTAAAGTTTCTATAATTATGCTGTATTATAATCAAAGAAAAGTTAATATATGAGACATTATAGCTTCGGCAAATTATTACAACATCATAGATATTCATGTGATCAAGTCGTCACGTCGCCGTCGCGTCGGACCGATATTGTTATATCAATCCGATTGCATTTTCCGACGCTTCGTTGCATATAGATGCAAATATTTCAACACCTAGTTATAGTCTGAACTCCGAAGTAATATTGACCATGTTACCATCGCCTAGGAATATTTTTTATGCCACAGGGCGCAACACGGAAATCTGTTGACATAGTAATCAACAAGACGTTCATGGGCACAACACAACGACGGACAATTGGATAATTCCGAGAGAGGGAAATAATTATTTGAGAAGCTATAACAAAGAATCCTCTCAATTGTATACCTCTAGATAACCTACATTTACCGTTAACTTATAGTTCATGCAAAAACTATTAACTTAATTTATTTAAATAATCTTCATTAACTTTTCTTGTGATGATTACTAATACTTTTATCGGTTGATAAGAGTCAAGTTATAGCAATCAGTAGATATTTGCATACACGATATAAAGGTGAAAAAAGTGTAGTAATATGTAACAAACTAGTTTGTTACACAAATGTGTTACTGTCACGGTCCTGATTCACCGTTACCATAACACCCCCTTGTATAAAAATGCGGTTCATCGGCAAGTTGTATGTTGAAATATGAATGTGTTAAATGTAGGTATGGGTGGCTGCCATTATTTATGCGGTGACATAGAATTCTTACCGACTAGTCTGTCTATTGGTCGTAATCGAGTACGTGTATAACTAGATCTAGTCTATAACTACGATGCGACAGAACCACATCGTATTTATCATGGACCTTATGTATTGGATGAAATGGGATGGAATGACGGATGGGGTGGGAAAACTTTTGAGGGAAAACCTAGAGGATATTGGATTCATATCTTATGTTAAGAAAAACACTTTGACAGTTGTGAGCATCGTGAGCTTTTTATAATGGTGCTCCAAATAGCTTAGGATACACCACATTGGACTACCTTAGACCTCGGCAGTAAAGATGTAAGATAAGTAACAAAACAACAATGTAAATTTTAAGAAAAGATTTGTTTATTTCAGATTTATTCTGGTGGCGTGCGTCGTGTGTTCTGCGCTGGCGCAGGATGACGAGCGGCCAGCGGCGCCTGCTCGGGGACTGCTCAAACGCGGCTCATTGGCTAAGGGAAAAGCTACAACTACCACAACCACGCCTGCACCTCAGGTACTTACTGCACATATAGGTTACACTGTTACGATACATACACTCTAAGTGGAATGACCAGTATTATCCATTATAGTACGGTCCAAATCTGACAAACGTTATAGGGATATATATTATACACGAAATTAATGAGGTTTGTGATCACTGCATTAGTCTATTTTCGGGTAAAATGTTATTTGATTACCTACCTCGGTTTCAAAGCAGGCCTGTTGCGGTTACACAAGAGCGTCGAACTCTCATGCACAACTACTAAGAAACATGTAAAATGACAATATAGCACTGCACACATCCTCGATTCTATTGAAAGAAATTGCCAATTTATTTTACAAAGAATCAAAGCTCTTAGAAAGTTCACTTAGCGTAGTTTCGCAATCAATTTCCGTCGATGCAAGTTGTTTGTCCAGACGGGTACGAATTGAGTAAATATGCATGCAGTTACTATTACGATATTACATATTATGTTATGTCGTGTGTCACGACACTACGTGAAGACGTCTTACGAAGCTAAAAGGTGGAAGTTTATGCGATTTCATGCTCAATTAACTTAACAATACCAAATTATCTATTGGAAAGCGTTTCTTTTTTGTACTGTGGACACATAAGATGAATAGTCTCATGTCTCAACTGAAATTATTGCGCTCATCAATGTCTGTTGATGTTGGGGTCGATTCTTAAGTTTTGAGATAAGCAGATACAAGTTGCGCAAGTATCGAATAAATGTTTTGTTGTAACTTATGTGTCATTGTTGTTTTTAATAAGTTTCTTAAAGTTTTATTAGTGCTTATAGTGTTCACAAAAGTTCTAGACTAATCCTTATCTAGGTACTATATTTTTTGCCCATGTGATCTGAGCTCCTAGATATACAATGATCTTTATGACCTTCATGTCCTGTTCTCGCACGCGATTGCCTTGACCTGTCTTTAAGTCGCATCGTAAAAAAGGAAAATGTTGTGTTTAGCCGTTCAAGACTTAAATACAAGCTTTGGAACAAATGGCTTAATAAAGTTTTGCTTAAACTATAAACATCTTGTAATAAAATTTAATTATATTGGGGATTGATTTTTACAATTTTTATAGCTTATTTGATAAAATATATTAAAATGTTAACATCGTGGAGGTTTGTTTAAAAATTACAACCAGGACATAATGGATTTTTTGCTGACTGATTGACTGCAGTATAATGTCTGACCTTCAGTAAGTTCTTCCGAGAAAATGGGGTACTTTAAGAAGATAAAGAGTTGTAAAATGAAGTCTGGCATTGTTGTCATTATTATATCCGATGCACCAGCGTTTCGCAAAAGATGTCGCTGTATGTCCATCTAGTTCAAGGCGAGTGGGGCGAGTGTCCGATGATCGGGTCACCTTCGCGTATGACCTTTGCGAGACCTCCCTTTCCTTTGAGGAATTTCTACCTGCAAGTTTGGGCCACCACCCGTCAGCTGAACTGGTTTTTCCAAGGAAATATATGACGTCCAATGTGCAAGACGCAATCTTTTATCGTATATGTAAAATGCAGTATTAATTAATGAGTTTTTTTGATTGAGTCCGGTTTTTAAGCTGTCTAATTGTAAATATTATGTAAACGACTGTCTTATAACAGGACTAGCGATGAAAAGGTCACGGATACACGTGATGTGTTTGAATTATTAACCGCAAAGGTGACCCCGTTTCCGTGAATTGCATAATTATTTGAATTGGTTATTCTTTTGTCATTTGTTCGTTCTGGTGTCTTCTGTCCCAACACACATGTGGATATCTTGCGTATACAAATTTTGTAGAAGTATAAGGTGTAAATTAATCAGTGTGTCTGGTACAGTCAGGTGTCAAAAATGCAATTGCACTCGACCAATTTTTAAATGACCAAAATATCTTTGTACTATAGAGTCAATGGTTGAGAACTGCTTTAATTTATAGCATAGAATCTAAATTATTGAATAAAGTGGCTGTGAATCATTGAACTTTTACTACAAAGAAATTTTAGTCATTTTAAAACTGGTAGAGTGTAATTGCATTTTCGACCCCTGACTATACTTACATATGAATAATCCGATATTGGGCTACATGTAACTCGCAAACAAAGACTAAACTTTTTAGTGATTAAATGTTAATTGAAAAAGCACAAAATTTGATTTGAAATAAGAAAAATTACTGCAACCTTTAAATACCTAAAAGGCAAATCTATGTTTCCTAGGTCAATGGCGGACTTGCATGCGTTCGTTAATTAAACATTCCTCTGATAAAGATCGATATTGGAAAACTATTTTATGATTAATTAACCGAAATTGAATCCATTATCATGTTTCGATTTTGAACGTTTATCGATTAGAGAATGTTGGTATCCGTTAAATAGAAGGCCGATTTCCACTTAGGTATGCATGTAGTAACTAATTACGATCGAAATTTTGTTATATAAGTATACCAAGGTACCTACCATAAATACAGATAGTTATTTAGAACTAATGATTAACATCTTCGCCTATAAATAATACATATTATTTATAATTATATATAATTTTCAAGTCCGTTTGCAATTATAAAAACCAGCCAAGTGCGAGTTGAACTCGTGCACAAAGGGCTCTGTACCAAAATCACGTTTATTGATCACATTAAAGCGGCAATAGAAACTACATCAAACTGCAAGACAGACAGACGGACCGAGATTTAGTCATATCGTTACTATAATAACCCTCATCGGAACGGCTTTGGAACCCAAAAAGTGTATATCCAGATAATTAACGACAGATAGCCAAATAAGTTAATGCTACTGTTTTACTCACTGCTGGACTTCTGATTGATCGTACCATGTTCTATCGCCTAGGGCATAGACTCCCAAAAATAATATATTGTCTACTTACCGCTTAAAAAACTAAATGTTTTCCACTTTGGGAAAGATTGGCCTAAAGTCTTCCTCTACTAAGAATGTGCGGTTCCAAGAATGTTTGATCTTTCATCGAAACGAACCTGCTTTAGCTTTATATTTTAGCCTAGATTTAGTGTAACACAGGAAATTATAATTTCAGGAGGAGGCTGAGTATGAGGATGAGGGCGAATTCTCCGAAGAAGGTGAACCGCAGGAGGCATCGACTGAGGCTCCCTCATCTACCACTGAGGGCAAGAAGCTAGTTGGCAGTGGCGTGAGGCCATTCAGAAGCAACACTGAACTTCTCGAGATCCTCAAGAGGAAAAGGGCCCAGGCTGCTGAAGGTCTGTCCTAATAATTTATTTTTATAAGGAGTAATGTGTGTGGAGTTTCTTGTTCGGTCTTCTCCGTTCGAATCTAAAATTTGGAACGAGCATCTAGCTTCATTGACGAAAATACTGACATACTTCTATTCTATTTTGACATTTAAAAACTACCTATATATGGTTTAGATGGAATAAATGATTATGACTTTGATTTTGAATTTAAAGCTTATAAAAAAGGAGATACTTTAGTATCGTCTCATATACGAATATTATCTTGTTGGAATAACCACTTATTTCCCAGGTCGGCACCTGAACTTAAACATATCGTGTATTATTAAATTCTATATCAGATAGGTATTGAGATTATAATTGGTTTTAAATTAACACACATTTGTATTTGCAGCCAAATTGCACGCTCCCTCGACCACGACTTCGTCGCCAGCTCAGGATTCTCTTGACCCCACCAAAATTACATACAGTTAGTAACACTATTTAAAAGAAATTCACTCATCATGCACAATCATTTGGCATCATAATTGGGTGACATGGTTTATATGCACAAATTACAGATCATAATAAAGATCCATCATTCATGTGTACAGAAATCTGTGTGACTTAGCAATTAAGAATTTCACGTTTTCATTCGCAGACAACAAGAGCAAGAAGCGTTTCAACAACTCTCCAGTGACCAGGGAAGTCGCTAATGATGAGGCGCCAGCTCCACCCAAACCAAGCAGAGGTCGTTTTGGAAGGCGTAAGTAAAAACTAATTTGGAGAAATGCTTATTAAAGAGATCTATAGAAACTAGCAAAATATTATAAACAAGTATAGACGTTTAAAACTCCACACTTCGTGTATCACAAAATTAATCTTTATGAAAACTGAATTTTAAGAACGGAAAGTTAATTTTGGGTACAGCCATAATAAAAAACCCCTATAAAGGCATTTCGAATAAAACGGGAAATAATTTAAATAATGCGTCTTACTTCAATTATTTGACCTTGTGACCATGTAACTGCCCTTCATCGGTGTTCTGGTGAACGTACTGTAAACAAAAAACATCAGGAACATACTTTTTGTACTTTTGACGCGACAATTGGGTACATAGCTACTTAAAATAGAAGAACAGGCTCTTTTGCCTTGACTGTTGGAAGAGATTAGGTGTCCTAATTTCCTTGTAAGTGGAAAGCAAACTATTATATCCCGTTAATGCTTTACTCAACTCAAATTTGACTAAATTTATTAGAGATCCATAAGACGTAATTTAAAGCCAAAGAAATTCAAAGAGCTCGTGACAACCATCTTAGTTTAAAATTATTATTAATTAATAGATGTATAGTAGTAGTAGTACAGTAAATTCTTTTGTCAATACAGCGGCCACTAGATCGGTCCAGGAAGAGGAGGAGCCACAAGTAGATGCTGCGCCCAAAGTAGTATCCGGCAGAACGTTCAGGCGAGGCGGCAACTAACTCTTCTAACATTCATAAGTTACCCCCCCCTACCCACCATCCCGTCCCTATAATCCTCCCAATCAAATTCTATGATATACAAAGTTTACGACGTCCCCTCCCGATTATAACCTAGAATATATTTGAAAAAAAAAGATGGCAGCATATTTTGATTTTTAAACAGAACAATGAAGTACACTACATTATATTATTATGCAATTATTTTTTATATATATCTGGCCATACTCTTATACTAGAACATTATAATCTAGGTTATAATCTGGCAACGGGGTTTTAAAGAAACATTTTCGGTTCCAAATTCATCACATTAGATGGATTAGATTACATTTTTATACTTGTGTAAATTATAAGTGTAAGTAATTTTTAAATAAAATAATTTTAAATTTTGTTCATGTTTTTTTTGTGTTCGCTTATGGTACAATAAATATGTGATTAAAATAAGGTATTAAGACGCATTAAAATTAGGCAAAAAATGTACCGATAAAGTTATTTACAAGGTACCACTGCTTTCAAATTAAGTTCTCGATTTATTAACTTAACATTACAATGTGACGGTTAAGGTTCTTGTCTTATTGAAAAGGCATTGAATTTTACAATCGAACAGATCGAAATAAAAGGCCTGTCAAAGAACTGCTTCCCAAGCGATCTCATGTCTCAAATTCCCTGACGACCTTATTGGTCGAGAATGTATATTATGATGGAAATTGAAACATTCTTTGAGGTAAAATGCAGCATGCTGCAAAGTAAGGATAATATGAGTTCTTTTGTGAGGTCATCAAATGAGGGGAAGGGAGTGTCTACTTCTACACACTAAATACAGCCGGTCCCTTCTTCTGTTCTGGATCGAGAGCCGCAGTGCCTCATTGCGCTTAACCCGCAACCAGTATAACGGCGATAGCGCGATGGCTTTATAGCCCAAATTTTTTAAAAGTGGTCATATTTCCGTAGGTCAGATATAAACCTTATACAAAAATATTGGAACTTAGATATTTGCTGGGTTTAACTTAAGACAATAAGCTTGCCAAGTCAGTGTTTACCCCTCGGAAAACTCACCCGGAGGTGGTTGAGGGTGAATTTGCAGCATACAAGTGGTAGGAAAAGCTCTTTAGATATAGATTTAATAAGAATAGCGAAGACCAAGGGTTACACCTGAGATACACCAGCCGCTGTCTGCCACACAGGTAACTGCGCAAAAAAATAATCACAGATGGAGATATGCCAACAGCACCCAGTATTCCTAGAAGTATATCTAAATCAACGGGTTTGACGGGGTTACTAAAATCTAGGAGTCTCTAACTGTTAAGATTGCCGATTTCAATACCAGATCGTACATAATGTCATCTGTGATGTTGACCGCTGAAGTAGTGCCATGCCCTCCTCTGAATCCAGATTAATAAGGAATGAGGAGATACTGTTTGGTGAAGAGAGTGCTAAGCTGGTTATAGTTAAACATAGGACGACAGTTGGAATAGAATTCAAAAATCGGTTTTTTGGTAGAGGTATAATATCTGCTCTTTTCCATGCGGAAGGTAAACTTAACTGCATAAAATATTAAAGCAAAGGACTGGAAGGATGTAGCACAGGGTATCTTCTATTATCACTGCCAAACAAACGTTGGGTGAAGAAGTCCTATGCCAAACACGGCGGTCGGTTCTTGTACCTGTTTCAATGTATGGACCGATTCAACTCAATCAGTTTTGAACTAGAAAGATTGACTTTTGAAACCAATCCCTTCAGCGGCAAGAAGCTCAGAGCAGTAAATACTCTAAGCAGCGGTACAGCGTAGTAGTGTGTCTTGCTCTGTTTCGTTGAGTTGTCGTAACGGAATGTTGCATTTTATGCAACAGCGTGTAGCGTTACATAGGAGGGAGCTCTAACGGCGCAGCGCATTATTCTCCCTCATGCGTTGTTTGTTGTTTCTCGTCCGTCGATACGTTGAAACGTCGTATTGTCGTCGCTCTTTATGAAAATATATGAAATATGTCTGACGATCTTGCGTAGCCGTCGTAGAGTAGCCCAACAGAAGTGGAGAAAACATTTAGATCAATCAAAACGTATCACTGAAAAGACAGACAGAGAGAGAGAGAGAGAGTTAAAAAAAATAGTCGTATCATATATCTATACTCTATACTTATAATAAATCTGTAGAGAGGTTAATTCTGTACATTTAATACCTATATATTTTCAAAATAACTTCCAGGTGATAAGTGATCCATACTGATGAAAAAAATGCAATCAGTAAAATTTTTGCCCTGTCTATCTGTCTGTATTTTCATTATAGAAACAAAAACGACTCGACGGATTTTACCAAACTTGGTACAATTATTCTTTATACTCCTGGGCAGGTTATAGGATACTTTTCATCACGCTACAAATGATCGGAGCAAAGCAGTGAAGGGCAATGTTGGGAAAAGGCGAGAAATTACTCCGTTTTTTAAGTTTCCGTCGCGTGTGTAGCATTAAGAGTTAAAGTTACATAAAAATTATGTATGACGGAAATAAAAGAATATAATTAATAAAAAAAATTATTCTACAGCATATGTGTATCTTTTATTGTTAGCTCACAATAGCACGAGTAACTCCTGATAACTTAGCAGTTCGGATAATAAGCTATCGCGCCATCGCACGTGAACACTGAATCATGAGACAATTAGTAATAAATTTTATGTATACCTACTTCGATTTTGTTGTATTGCTATATTCTTTTTATCCACACAGAACGCGAGCGAAGCCGCTAGCGGAAGCTAGTATAAAATATTGAGTGACAACCCTAAGCAATGGTAGCCATTTATATAAATCCATAGTTTAGGAATCCCATTGATTTTTTTGTACTTAATTCACGTCCTTACTTTTTTATCGAATAAGAACATGTCGAAGGAACAATCCGAATAAAACCTTAACTATAGGATAAGATGAATGTTATGATGGGTAAAACGAAATAATTACAACTTTATAGCTTAGACTTACTTAACGTTTTATTTAGAGACTAATAGATATTACATTAAAGTAAAGTATACAAAACATAATCGACCGATTGATTGATAAGTTTAACCTTGAAAGATTACATAAAGATAATGTCAGTTGACCATTATTCTATGTATGGCACTTGAAACTAGATTATTATAATTTAAATCGGTTACTCGTAATACTTAAATAGTAACTATTACTGTCAAATTAACGTTACACAGATATGTATACATATGTCATCAGAAGCTGTGTGATTGATATGACTTGGTACCAAGTACCAAGTATCCATTTGCATTAAATTTTAAGACCTATTTCAACTTGGCATAGGTTTGTTTCTTGTTTGTACAATCATTATTTAATAATTATGATTAAACATAACATACTAAAGAATCATTCTAAGATTCATAACCGTACGTTTATTTATAATCAAGCAAGCGATCATGCAGCATGCAGAAGGTGTGCTTAATCATTGCATAGACACTACAATTAATTGAATAAAAGAAGCGTCGAGCAGACAATACAACGTGGTAAAAATCTTTTGTAGCACGCAGTAACAAATATGTATACTGTGATACGAATTAACACATGACAAAATCAATATGCTAACATCACTAAGAATACCAAACTCGTTATGCCAAAGTTTGTATATTAGGTCTAAGAATATGATGCAAATGGCTAATGGGTTCCCTTACATTAAATATAAGCGACGAATTGTTTAATTAAAATTACTCAAATAGAAAAAATAGAACAAATATCATGTGTAGTAGTTAGTATCTATCTACTTGTTTAAGACACGAGTGACTTCGGCAAGGGGCGTGTTGTAGGTGCCAGGTTTAACCAAGTTCACCAGCTGCTCAGCGATCTCCTGTCCCACACGTACTTGAGCCTCTTTCGTCGATGCTCCTGTACAGAAAAAGACTTCAAAAATTTGAAGGAGGATAGGCATCGAGTTTTTTAAAATATAATTATAGGGACAAGCCAGTATGCTACTTCATTAAATATAAGCATGAAAACCTAAGGCACAAAGAAACTGCGCAATGGGGAGAAATTCAGTCACGAAACACAACGTCGTCGTGTACGCGTGTTATTGCTAATGAATAATTCTTGAGGATATAGGGCTCGGAACTGGTAGAGTTATCTAGCCAAACATTTGAGTGAGCAATAAACATATTTTATTAGTTTTGAAGATAGTAAATTCACTACTAGTTTCAGTTATTTTGAAACTTCTATTCTCCTAAACTACTACGTTATCAATAAAATATATCACCACAATATCAGCGAGTCTAAAAAGCTGTTAACCTCCTTTATACATTATTTGCTGTGCAAATCAGACCATTGTTTATCGTTTACGGTAAATCAAAGCAATTTCTACGATAAATTACTAATAATAGTAATAATCTTCTGGCTAATTTCTTACTATCAATGTATGTATATAGATCTTTTTTATTACTGCAAGTACTATTGAGAGTTACTGATTTTCTTGTACGTTCTTGAAATGGAGACTTCTTAGATATGAAATTAATCCCGTTTTTGGTGTTGCTATAGCAGCTATAAACGAACAAGCTGTAGCTGGCAATCTGTACCTACGTGATATATTGATGGTCGGTTAACGGAATCTCAGTTAGCCTTCTAACTCTCTTTATACTTTAAGGTATAAAATCCTGATATTTACACTCGTATACTAGCTTATACGAGGTCCCGAGTGCAAACACAGTTCGTTTGTTTATTATTTTAAAACAAAAAGGATAAAATAATATACCTAAGTGAGGAGTAGCAATGACGGCTTTGTGCTGAATAATTTCCAAGGTCAGGGGGTCAGTAGGAGGCTCCTGCTCAAACACGTCAAGAGCTGCACCTCCAACCTGAAAAGATTTTTATTACATGAATGTTAAAGTTCAGAATGAACTTAAAATGGTGTAGTTGCATTCGAAGGCCTAAGAAATCGCCACTTACTCGTGCCGTAAGAGAGAGCTCATCCATTGGCAGCAGAAGTCTGACGAAACTCAGTCTTATACTTCGAGTTTTTAATAAGTATATTTGCTCTTCTCATCGCTATCTGATTTACAACGAGTGTGGAATAGTGGCCTATTGCCAGCCTATTTTACTTTAGCATGACGTTATCCAATGCTGGACACACACTAAGCCAAAGAATCACCTTCACTCAAGAATACCTACATATATTTCATAGGTTCTCCAACAAATATGACGTCCATCGTCCATTGAGCTATGTAGACAAATTCGGGTCGAGCCACAGTTCATTTGGGGTTTGTCTCCAGACATACTCTACGAAGAATGAAACCATAATAAACTTACATGGCCGGAGTTGAGCCCATCAAGAAGATCACGCTCTTGGATAAGCCCACCGCGTCCAACATTCACGATCTTGATGCCTTTCTTGCATTGACTAAGCACATTGGCATTGATGAAATCTGTGTAGAAAAACAATCAAGTTAAGCAAACAATTTGAATGACGACGAATAAAAATAGTAAGTAATCATTATTTTATACACAACTCGCAATATGTTTTGGCAAGCTATAATGCTTCGGCTATTTTAGCAGATATCTTTTTCTATTTTTCTTACTATCAGGAGAAGGAATGAAAGTCCTATGAAAGAAAATTTCAGAAAATTACTTAGAACGAAAATAGCGAAATAACAACCGGGAAAATCGTTAAGTAACCACCTCCTTTCACACGGATTAAGGATTACAACTCCCAATCAAAAAGCGCTAGTAACGTCTAATGGCCAATAGAATATTTGATATGTTAAGTAGTTAACTAATTTATGGCAGATAAGGTGATAAACCTACTACTTCACTATGGTCTTTTCGTGAGTGCAAATTCGTATTAACCGTTAATTACGACTATGTAAGTAAAAAGTGATTTGCAGAGACGAATACACGTCCACACATTTGAACAAAGAGACAAATTAAGTCAATACTTAATCAACTGACCTTAAGTTGTACATCAGTGTAAGTCTATCAAACATTTAAATGAACACAATAAAACAATTGTTTGCTTAATCGCAGTATTTCAATTTATATCAATTGCTACAAGATGTTAATTAACGATCCTTGTACTAGAAACACGACAATCATGATCATAACAGATCCATCGATCTGAATGGTTTCAAAATATAACATCTAATCTCCAATAACCAAGAAGTTTAAGTATATAGTGTTCGTATGTTGGACATTAAGTCAATACAGTAGCTTCTAACTAGTCAAATTCAATACTTTTATTGAAATGTCAAAAACTATACTTCCATATTTATGAATTTTGTTAGAAATCGCAGTATTTGAAGATACACTGTGTTTAAGTTCAAATAACTTTTAAGTTAATTTTGAAAAAAAATCAAGTAAAATGAAACTAAACAAGTATGTGAGACATAATTACGTTATTTAGTGTTAATGTAAACTTATGCTAAAATAAGTAACACCAAAAATTTAAACTCAAATACTTAGGCATCAAAGCAGAAGGAACGCAATATGATAATAAATTACACATTATGTATCTATGTTAGTATATAATATTATCTATAGTAGTAGAATGTTGAGTAACTGTAATCGCAAACTTACTTCTTGTCGATTCAATGAGAGGCGTGTGCAGGGTGATGTAATCAGCGAGCGGCCAGATCTGGTCCAACTCCATCTTTGTAGCGTGGAAAGACGCACACTGTTCTGCCGTCACAAACGGGTCGTAACCTATAATCTGAGCAACGCATAACGTTGTTAACATCGCCAACCATTCAAATAGCTTTGAGCTCTAATGCTAAGTTATATCGTCAACAAATAAATTTACTTCGCCCATAGCAAGCAGCTGCTTATTTAATAATATAAAAGAACATAATAAAAAGTCAACAAAAGTATTACAAACAATAAACCAAAACGGAAAAGTACATGTTATCAGAAGGTTAAAAGCTATTTGCATCAGACTGAATTTCATCAGAAAAATCTCAGCAAATTAAACTATCCATTACTATAGTTTCCTTATCTTATCTGACAGACATTCACGAGCTCTCAGTGTCAGTGGAATTTGAGTTAACTGGCATCAGTTTTATCAGGTCTCGTCAGGAATCGATCGGCGCGACGATCAATTTCGTCAATGTTGTGCTTGACCTTCATCCAATTTATCCCGTGTCGCAAGTAAACTAGTTACCTTCCGCATTGTTTTCGCTGCGAAAGCGATACATCTCTGCTATCAACATCGATGTTGGTTTTCCATGTTGTGGTTTGCTGTCAAAGTGACATTATGTAGTTAAAAAATGTCACTGTGACGGCTAAACACGCCACGGAAACTTGTCTTTATTCGCTGTTTTTCGCACAGACCTAGAATTAACGAGACATGTGTTATTTACCTTCATGCCGAAGGAGTGCATGCGGATGGCGACTTCCCTGCCTACTCTGCCGAGGCCGAGTATGGCAAGTGTCTTGCCGTTGAGCTCAGTGCCGGTGTAGAGGGCGCGGTCCCAGCGACCAGCGCGCAGGGCGGCGGCAGCCGGCACTACATGCCTTGACAAGTTTAAGATCAGACTGCAAGTGAGCTCGCAGGCACTTAGGGCGTTAGCTCCTGGAGCGCTGTAATAATAAAAAAGAACTCAAATTAAACCCTATAGTCTTCCTCAACTCAATTTTAACTTCATGTATGTAACTATCACAATTCGAATGGCCAGTTCGCACTAAGGCGACGTGCCATGTGCACAGTTATATCATCGTTTTCATGTTGTATAACTTAGTAATTCTTCTTCTACGATCAACGTTTCTTACTTGATAACACCGACACCTCGTTGTCCAGCGGTGGTGACGTCGATATTGTCTACTCCTGCACCAGCACGACCAACTACCTTCAGATTTTTGCCTGCTTCTAGAACCTCCTTGGTGACTTGAGATGCAGATCTGACTACCAAGGCATCGTATTTCTGTAGGACAATCGATTATAAAGATTATTAACATGAGAATTAAATATCTTTGACTTTGAAGCTATTTATATATGTTTATTGTATCTGCATCCTCTATGTCCTTTGCCAATATACCTACTTATGTATCTGTTTGTACAGAATGAAAATATCATTCGGCCACAATGTATGATGATATATGTAATTCAAAAAAAGGAGACTATCCAAAAGGGATTAAAATCTTATGAAATGTTTGCATTGATTTTTGATAATAGGTAATAAATTGAAAGTATTGTCTTCCAAGGAAAAATTAGTACCTGATAGAGCACAAGTATCTACCTTACAACAATACAAGCTACAATTAGCGTAAATAAATTTATCACGAAGCAAAAATGATTTTTCCACCTGTTAAACGATCCATACAATCAAAACAAATTCTTTATACATATAGGTTGATATAATCGCATACGCGGTGCATTGACCTTTTGTCATTTAAGAACGTTGATAAGAAATAAAATTATGAATCGAGACATTGTGTTTTTAAACTTCGTTAGTTCTGTCTTATGGCTAATTTTTTTGGAAAATTATATGTATTTTAAGAATACACATTAGAACAATTTTCGTTTGAAAGAATTATTTGTAAAATCATATAGGAAAAATTGTAGATTTTGTACATGATTGTATACAAATAATGAGAGAAATAATCAGATCTTACCGGGATTTCTTGGAGGAGTTCATCTTTTGTGATCTTCGCTTTGTTGACGACGTTGATTCCATGTGAATTGAGAATCTCAGTGCAGTTTGCACCGACACCGTCGACTACCAGCACAGATTTGATTTCCAGAACCATCTTTCAACTAAGAGTAAAATAAAAAATACATTACAAATCATAGTCTGAGGATAAACAATAAAAAGTACAAACGCATAATTCGCAAAACGTAGTGCGTATCTTTAGGTCTGCAAAAGCACGCTGCATGTATACTTTAAAAAGGTTCGCACGTAGGTATCAGAAGGGAGCCAAGCGAATAACCGGTTTAGGTGTTTACTAAAACTAAATAACGAAATAACGTTAATATACTCTAACACTTACATTTAGCGACAAACATAAAGTAGAATTACTTATTCAGTAGCAAATGTGGGTAATGTATAATTTATAAAAAATAATCGACGAGTATTATGAAGGTAATTTAATCACAAGCATTACAAAATTATTTGGTTGAGATCACAGCGATGTTCGTTCGCCATCGTGAATAATATTAGCTAAATATCCTATTATGTACATGTTACTAACATTTTAATTGGCATTAATACTCACGATAATTAATGTCCCGTATGTAGTGATGAGCGGCTGCGACTGAGCGAAGTGAGCGACTAGGGACAGCGTGGAGCGGTGGGTTGCCGATGAACGCCGGTCGCGCCACTTATCTTCGTAAACGTCCAAAAGGCAAACGTCACAGCCGCCGTCTGCGCTCGCCTTTTGTATGTCGAGTTTGCACTCCGTTCCGAGCAACTAAACGCAATCGCAACTACACACGGCTAAATTAACGTGCGCATGGTGACAAAAAAAAATATTGGTCCGTGTGAGAACGTTGATAAATTTTGTTTACATTTTAAAGTTTGCTAATTCTGATGATGAGTTTGTTGATCTGCGTGTGTTAATTTATAGAATAAATGTTTATATCAAAATCTATATTACTTTTACTAGCTGTAGGTCGTATAAGTACGAGTATATTACGTTATTTGTCTTGTTGTTTGTCCGTAATATAAAAACAACATTGTTCTCCGCCGTGATGTCAAAGAAGGACGTGGTTGCGTATCGGTCTTTGTTTGCGTAAACATGTTTATCGCTTGCTCGCTCGCTTTCGATTACTCATTATTTCATAATACGATAATATAAAGTATCTGAAATCGAAAGGGACATGTTGACAATATTTTGAATTTCAAATGCTGAATAAAAAAATGATTGCAGGAAAATTATGAGATGTAGCTAAAAATAATTGCGTGTAAAAATAACCTTTGACGATTTATGTATATCAATCCAAATTTAGTGGTTGTCAACCAAAAACATTAGGTACGTATATGTAATAAAGGTATGCCGATAAAAAATACAATTGCCGGCTCTGGATGTCCCATCGAATTAAAATCCATGTATTCATTCCAAGTGGAGGTCATCTGCCTCCGAACGGCGGTCAATGTCGAAAATGTGCGCCACACAATTTGGATGTCGTTTGAATCGTCTCAGTTTGTGGTCTGTGGTGACGGAAGGTGCATGTCTTGGAATGCTAGAACCAGAACTATTTTCATTGCAGTTATGTGTAAAACATGATTTTATATTCGGGATTAAGTACCTAAATGAAAAATATTAATTGGGCCCACATCTATAGCAAGCGAAACGCCTGGTGCAGAGTTAAGAGATGACATGTTTTATTGCCATTGATTGTTTAAAACAACGGATACTGAGACTAACATTATATAGAAATATACATATGTACATTGCTGTTGCTTTAGTTAAAAACTCCAAACAGTTACATATCTTCGAAATGACATATTGTTAAGGATTTTCAGTTCGTCCAAGTAGAAGTTAGCCAATGTGCCTATGAATAAGAGTACCAACACATGGAAGCATTCCTAGAAGCATATCGTCAAACATTAAGAACATTTTTCTCTGTAGAAACAGCTCAAAACACCTTGACTGTAGACCCTAGAAGTATAACCGTCTGGAGGAAATCTAATTACTATTTTTTAATGATAACTTTTATTTTTCTCAAGATACAGTGATCGCTGAGGTACTGATGTTAAGTAGGTGACGATCCCAGTAAGAGTGACGTCATATTCTTGTCGTGAAATTTTACTACTGCGACAAGGTACCTACTATATATTATTTTGTATATATTTATATAAACGAAAAGGTAGTTTTGACCCTCAACAACAATTAGGTACATTCGTGTTTTAGTAACGTACAATACTATTTGACAATAAAACAGACATTTTTTATCTTAACTTTGCTGGGGGCACTACCGTGGTCTCAATATTAAAAGATAGCACACAGTTCATCGGGTTAAGTACTGAGCTAAATATTTTTAACCAATGAGTAAGTAAGCTCGGAATATTTTATTCCCCTGAAGGATCTCACCGAAGCATATTTTCTTACAAACCAAGGTATGCACTTATGTATAGATTTACCTGAAAAACTTTCACAAGTTATATACCTAAGTTGCTTTAAAGGCGAGATCAGAAACAAATGAATAGGTAACTATTATTTATCGAATATTTTTTGTTTGTGATATTCGATTTTTTTTCGTACGACAATTTTATATTATCATAGCGTAGACATATCACGAATATTATGCCCCAAATCGAAGCATATTCTGACTTTTATCTCTGTTTGGAATGCCAAAAAATAGGACGAGAGAACCTATTTCCATAAACGAGTGCTATTAGAGTTGCACCTGGATTCTATTACCTTAAACAACACAACAAAAAAGAATTGGAAAAATCACATATCTACCCACACATTTTATAATTCATTTTCAATACTATAGTATAGACATAGTTTTTACAGAAACACTATGTTTCTGTTTCGATTCATAAAACATCCTTTTATGAATCGAATCTTGCCCAAAAGGTTCACTTGAAACTACTCGCAGTCATTTCGACTTTTGAAGGAAAGCCAACATTAGTATAGTATTTTAAGGAGTTTATGAAAACGAAGAATGAACGAAAGGTTTTCTTATTATTATATATAGTATGAAGATAAGTATAAACTCCCTGTAAACACTGAATTGCGAGACACGTTAGATACGATATAAGAACACTGAAAAAGTATTTCGAAATTGATCAACAACTTAATAACATGAGAAAAGTTTGAAGAAATCTGATCTGAATCTGATATTGAAGACGTTTTACGTGCAGAAATCTATAATTATGGTTAATACTACCAATGTATAATATTTTTCTCTAGAGAATGGCCAGATATTGTAGAAATATTAAAAGAAATAATTAACGGCTATTTTACTTATAAGAATTAAAATTGAAAAGGATTTTTTGAACTGGTCTGTCAGTTTCAATTTATTTTATCCAACGAGCGACAGTAAGATCTATAGTTTTATTAATGTGAGCTACATCGATCGGTTTCTTGGCAGTAGTTATATACAAATTGACGCAGATCAAGCTGGAGCCAAATGGGTCGCAGCGACAGTCGAATACGGGCAAAAATTAAGTTAAATATTAAAGAATGGGCCCAAACCGATATACCGAATCAAGAGCGCACGTTATTGTAAACAAACGATTCATAAGACAAAAAATATAATGTAAGCTTAACAAAATAAGAGTAGAGAAGAGATAACAAAAATAAGAGGCGAAGGGACCTTTTACATGTATGCCACGAAGGTGTGGTGTCCATAAAGTCAGGAGTGTCGAAATAAAACAAAACAGTTCAAATGTTATAATCTTAATTATTAATTTTATTATCACACTTACGAAAGATACAAAAACATATATCACGATGGCACTAGCAGTCAGTGCTTCAGCAGACGTGTAGAGTAAACAGGACGATTGTGATGGCAACTACATCACTTTCATGATACATTTAGTACAACTAGTCACCAATCACCAATCAATAATAAATATACACGAAAATAAGTACGGATGCGAAAGTTTAACTATTTCAATGTCTACGTGTTTGAAAAGTCAAAAACATGATATAATAATATTACTCTCTTTAGGCAATTTATGAATAGTTTATAATCTAAATTGCTCAGAGATAACACATTTTGATATCTTGCTCAACAAAGCTTGACGGTAATCTCGTTCTTAAATAATAGTTTTTACAATTTACTTTACAAAAATTAATTCAAGAGAGAGAAACTTTAGAATGTCTTGACAGCGTTCATACTGTTGATGTCGGAAAACACTATTTTTAAAGACAGAGATGGAAAAATCATATTGATTTGGTTTATATTGAATTTTTGGGGATTTCCTTTTGCTTGGAATCCCGGTCTTACTCGTAACATTATCTACCACTAATATGTACATAACACTTGTATAATAAAAAGGATACTAAATAGAGAGTACCCAGTAGGCACATGTAGTCAAGAAAAATATTAGAAACTTAAACTATTTATAGACACATTACAACTAAAAATTGAAAAACGTTTGATATTAGGCAGATAGTACGTAGACGAAAGATGCTAACACCTAAGTAGTTTCTGGATGAATTGACTAAGATTAATGACATATGATAAATGCTGAACTTGGCTGTAATTGTAATAGAAGGGAACTTTTAAATAAAAGTGGTTATGATGAATAAATTTTGTCAGGCGACCGAGGTAATAAAGTGAATGCTACAATCAAGGAGGAAGTCAAGTTTCAGCATTATGTCATTTTGTATGTAACCAGAGATTATTAGTATTTGTAGGGTGGTTATTTGGGATGGTAGATGCCCCGAGCGGGTCTGGCGGGTCGGCCTCCGATGCCACCGGCCGCACGCCGCTTGGCAATGAGCGCGTCGAGCCCGCGTAAGGGTGGCGCAGGAGTTGTCTCCGCTGGGGTAGGCTCCGTCTCAGTCTCTCCATCACTCTTCTGCTCTGCGCTAGTGCTCTCTTCTGTGACCTCAGTTGATTTCTTAGGAGCTTCAGTAGTTGCCTGCGATTCAAGAAATCCAATAAAGTTTTTTGCATAAATCTGAGTGGATAAATATGACAAATCTGAAAATGGCTTTTATCAGTTGTCTCACTAAACGTATTTAAAAGACGAGCAGACGTTAAACTACTCTGTTTCTTTAAAATAGTTGTTACTTAATCCACAATGTCAATGATTGCATTTAAAAGTATAAACTATATACACAGTCCAATTTTTATTTATTTTATCTTGATATCTGATCGATAATATATTTCAACTTACCTCAGTGGAAGTACCCAGCTTTCTCTTCAGAAGAGGGTTCACACGACGCGCAGGGGGAGTCACAGGAGCACGGGGCTTGGGGGAGGGGGAGACCTGCAGTCTGTTGCGAACTCTCAAACCACTGCGAGGTGCCTCGGGCGCTGGAGTCGCGGATGAAGCCTGTTCAAAAGGAGTCATAATATTTTATCTGATCTTGCTTTATTACTTACTAGCTACGATCCTCCGCTCGAGTGTAATGCTACTACAAAATTTGCGCATTAGGTATTATGTGAATCTTATTAAACTTGTAAATCTTCCACTTCAGTCACTTAAAACACTCGCATCAAAGTTTTAAAGATCTTAGCATACATAGGGACATAAAAAGCGACTTTGTTTTATACTATGTAGTGATTTATTGTCCATAAGTTTTACGAATCTGTTGAATATTACCTCAGAATCGGCGTCAGTGGCGGGTGATTCAGGGGCTGATGTCTCGACAGGAGCTTCGGAGACAGGGGCCTCAGGAGCGGTGCTCACGCCTCTCAAACGAGGATTGGGTCGGAGGTTCAACCTGGGTCCAGGGCGGAGAGATGCTGGCCGTAGACCAGGTCTGCCACGCCTAAGAGCACAGAAATAGAACATTAGTTAACTATGGTCTACCTATATGCTTATGGCATCACTTTTTTCAGAACAGTAATACTTTTTTTCTTTCTTATGTTTACTAACCCGATAGTTCTGGAAGGAGTGGGAGTAGTTTCAGATACTTCTCCGGAATTGGCACTGGGTGTCGAGCTATCTTCGGCGGAAGAACTGGCGATAGCAGCAGTAGTGCTGGTGGTGGAAGGTCCTCTCCTCAGGCCTGGGCGTAGCCTGGGTCTGAAAGAAGTTTACAACTTTCGTCAGCATATATGTGCCAAAACTTATTTGAGTCATATAACTGATATATCCATATATACACATACAATAACAAGATTACATATTAAGTTATATTTCCCTAGCCTACCAATTAAGATTAGGATCAGTAATTGATCTGAGATTCGGGAACTGAATGACAGTATTTTTACATAAGAAACCGTGTCTCTGTTCCTTCAGTGTGTGGACCATTACCTGGGTACTGGAGCTTCACTGGACGCTGCTGTGCTGCCAGACTCGTCTGTGACGGGTGCAGCTGAAGTGGAGGCAGGCCGTGTGCGACCAGCGAACAGGCCACGACGACCACCGAACGCCTGCAACAACCAACAACGTCCATAAATACACGAACACCTCCATATTAAAGGCCACTGTTCGCATTTATGTGTACAAGTTAATTTCTATACATTTATGTTTCTGTCGTTTTATAACTTGTCTTTTTGACATCGTTTGTTTAATTCCATTAAATTTTTGTTCTTTCGTAACTTAAACGAAAGTAAAGCTTGACTCAGATTTTAAGGACATATTTCGACGCCATTTTGTTGTCATGTTTAAACGATAAATGTCATGCGCACATTCGAAATGTACACTTGATATAGAACAAAAATGTGTTCATTTAGCATAAGGAGACAAAGTAACTAAAATACCACGAAAGTTATGGCATTTTTGCTCCATCGATATAATCAAACTGCATCATAAAACGAGTACTAATAATTAACATTTGAGTTTATCAAAACATTCTAATGGATATTTCGTAACGCGAACTTAACCACAGTATTTAGCTAACAGAATTCGCAATGCAAAACAGTACAGTCGCTCTTAAAGCTATTAACTTAGATTATGCAGTAAGGGGTCAATGAATATGGATGCAGACCTTGGGCTGTGTGACCGGTTTCTCTGCTGGTGCTGCAGCTGTGGTGGAGTCTGCAGCTGCGGTTGAGCTGCTACCGGCTGCAGTGGTCTTGCGTCCTACTCCGGGCTTTCCGAAGCGACCTGGTGAAAAAACACACATTGAATGCATACCTACAACATCGACAGAAAAACTGTTGTATGGACATAATAATGAAGAAAAGCATTAAGAAAGTACACTAGGTAGGTACCTAAAAGCACCAGCACTGCTTGTTAGTTGATGATTTCAAAGTCTATAGACATGACTCCGATTCTATGCTTTGCTTTTATTTCTATGTCGGTTTGCGGTTTTTTTTCTATTTTCACTCATCTATCGGTATATATCACAAGGCTGGGTGTAAAACTATGTATAACTTGTGCATTTAGAATTGCAATGTCGGTCAGTCTAGTATATCGTTGTCGATATTACCAACGCCTGCCGCGTCATGGCCAACTAGCTGTACTTGTTAGAATTCCTGACGAAATTACGTCAATGTCTTTCCAATTATGTACTTACGTTTATATTACGTTTTGTACATAATGCGGACTACCATTAGACACAGACGTAAGACTATCTACAGAAAAACAAAAGAATATTCGTATTCGACGAGATTTAAAAAATGTACATGTAGGTACATATAAAAGAAAACTGTTTATAACTGTGTAAACGACTATGTATCGGGTCTTAGTACTAACCAAGAAGTAATTACAAGTTATGTAATCTGATGTAAAACAATTATTTAACCCACACAATACGACAGAAACTTGCTGTAGACAATCAGATGTTTTTTCTTGTAGGTCATGGAAAAATATAAACCAATCATTGTAATTTAAATTGATTGTCTTTATGATAACGTGGTTATTTGCCACACTTAGTGCCTTTGTTTATCGTTGTACATATAGCGATGATACCAAATATTCTCTACCTACATTGATAAGGGCACCTAGTAATTAATCTATTAACTAAAGTTAAGCTATGATTACACTAAGTCATAATAATCATGAAAATTTGGTTTTGTAAGCTTATCTCATTTATATTTAAAAAAGAAATAAAGAACTTTAAAACTAACTTCGTAATAATTTATTTATATTCAATTAATACTTCATATATCATTTATTTCATTTCGCTTGAGTGCGAAAAATTTCTGACAATAGCTGGTACGTTGGAAATCCATTGGAAAATAAAAAAAAAAACCTTAAGCAAATTAACCATATTCAGCTACCCATCTAGGTTACGAGAAAGTGGCAAAAGATAATTATATTATTTTTAATATTTTAGATTAGTTTTAAGTCCATTTTAATTGTATACTAGTATATATTCTTATTTGTGTTTTCAGCTTTACAACAAATATTTGACGACATAGAAACAAGACGCAAAAAAACTGTTTTTGATAACACATTGTAGTTATCAGTATCATATGATATGATAAGAATATGTTCACGGTCAAGATCAAGGTACCTTTGTGGTTATTTTTGATAGATATGATATATTTTTTTAAAACAAGCCCTGAATTTTGTTCCTCGTGATTAAATAAAAGCAAATTTTTATTTCAATTATGAAACAGAAATATACGCAACTGACATTTAATAATAATAAAAATTAAGATTTCTGAAAAAAAATATCTTAACAATGTCAGAAAACCATTTATCGTAAGTGATCGACCGACATACAGTGCTGTGTGCTGTACAATGACGCAAGAAAAGAAGTGCTGTTAGCATTGAGACGAACTATTCTTCCCGTTCTTTTGTAACTTAATGTGCTAGTAAATACAATAATAAAGAGAAACAACACTTTTAACACATAGGTACCTGTGGACGTATGTACGTGAGAGAAGAATGTACAAGGCCCATGCACGCCCACTTGTATCAAGTCATTCGCTTAATGCATATTCGCAACAAAAACATTCGCAAAGCAATGAATGAATAATAAACATAACTTTCGCAGTGGTACGGCTACAGCATAAAATATCTTAAGTAAGAGTGCTAAGAGACTCACAACATGACGGCAGTTCTCTACGGGTATTTACGAGTAAGTATAACAAATCTAATAAAATGCTCAATGTAAAAAACAGAAAACATTTACCACTTTTTGTTTTATACTTCTTGCAATTTATAAAACGCCCGATAGAATTATGAAAACTGAAATGTATCAATTTCACTACTCGCTGTATTTAAACGGTTTCAAAGTTTATGAAGCTAATTATGTACGAATATATCTTTAGTTCACTTTCATAACAAATTGCGAATTTAAATTCCAATGAAAAATTACAGTCTGCTCACACGCGTTTATTAGAATCAATTAACTAGTTTCAATTATACCACGTAGGGAACTTTCGCCAGTCGCGTTAAGAATCTTGAACTGGATCTGTATATGTAGTTCATGGTGAATCAGTTAGTGATAATACACAAGTGGTCGAAAGCAGCAAGATTACCTCGCACTCTGGTTGATGTCTCCAACGGCGCTTCGGTGGCGGCGCTGGTGGTAGACACGCGAGTGCGGGCGCCAGCGCGTCCCTTGAACCTCGAGGGTCGCGTGGGCACAGCAGAAGTGGTGGTGGTAGGCGCTGGTGTGGTGGTGGTCGTAGTTGTGGTCGTGGTGGTAGTTGTCGTCGTTGTAGTTGTAGGGGTAGTGGCTTCCTCTGTAGTGCTCATCTCTTCGGTCGTTGTCCACATGTCATCCTCAACAGTCGTAGACCCATCGAAACTAATCTCATTTGTGGGGCTGATGTCGTTGTTCAAGTTCTCGCCAGCTAAATAAGCATACAGGTCGAGAGCTACCTTCTCCATTGCTGTCATTGTTGTATACTCAGTGGTATCCTGCTCGTAGGTAGTAGTTGCTTTGTAGTCAGCGGGGAGCTTGGAGTCATCCAAGATTTCCTGATATCTGATGCCCGATGATAAGCTGTGTCCTTCCCTGGCAGACTCTTTGGCATTTGTGGGTTCTTTGGCAATAGGTGTAGTTTCAGGAACTTCCTCTGTGGTGGTTCGGCTCTCTGAGGAATATCTGCTTGGTGGCTCCTTGTATTGGGACGGGGATGGAATGTCTCCAGAGTGAGTCTTGAAGCTGTCTAAGTCAACAAGTTCCGAGCTCGGGCGCCTGTAAGCATAGTTAATCATTTAATTGTTGTCATCGTGTTTGTTTTATAAATGAGGTGTTTGAGTGCTATTGTTTGTGATTGAGTTACCTGATGTGCGCACGGGTCCTGCTTCTGGTCTGACCGATTGATTCATCGGCTACATTATCGCTTTGTGATCGTCCGCGGTGAATTGTTTCGGAGGATACTTCAGGTACGTAAGTTGTGGAAGAAGCTGATGCTAAGTTACGACCGCGAGGCGGGAACCGAGTGCTTGATGGCAGCCTAACGCTTAAAATATCATAGTAATTTTAATTTAATGTACATTAAATAATAAAGTATATGTGCATGTGCAGTATTAATGAGTGTACCGTTTTGAAAATAAAAGTTTATGAATACCTGATATCTTCTTCCTCTTCTTCGGAAACCGGAGCAGGAGCAATGTTGCGACTACGACCGCGCCCGCGTGTCGTTGCTGGAACTACTTCGTTTTGTATTTCTGGCGTAGCTGCTGTTGTAGTTCCAGTCCTGTCGATAGAACTGTACTTATTCTTAGTTTTGCTTTCGTTGGCGATGTGGTTTTCGCTTTCGACTTTCTCAGGACCGTCGTGAGCATTGTGCACAGGGCTGGCGGTGGTAGAAGAAGCCTTATCTTTTCCTTTTCCTTCCTTTTTACCTTCTTCATCTTCATCGTAATAATAGTAGATGTATTCATACTCGTAATCCTGTCCGTTAGGACCTTTCTTAATCTGAATTCTAGATTGAGGTTTTTGTTCTGAGCCTGCAGTCTCTAAGTTTACGCTAGATGATAGTAATCCACTGTTGATATCATCAATTGTGTCAAAGTTAATTGGAATATAGTCGTACCCTTGGGTAGTGGCAGTTGGGGCAGTAGTAAGGATGGGCTTTTGAGTAGTAGTGCCAGCAGTTTTACTTAATTTTCCTGATTCGGACATTGCCTCCAAAGCAACCGCCATCTTAGGGTTTGTTTCAACATCTCTCAAGTTCTCCCGTATTTTAATGTCCTCAAGCTTTGATACTGGAACATCAATTTCAATTGACTCAGCTTTGCTCTTCAGCCCCTTTCTAAACAGAGCTTTCTTGTCTTCTTCGATAGCTACGATGCCTTCAGTCGCATGCTTGGCTTTGCCACTGTGCAATTTCTTAACAATTTTCTCACTGTCGTCTTGTTTGAAATTCCTGTGATGCGGGTGCTTTTCGGGAATTTTGTGTGAAGTTTCAAAGTTTCTTAAAGGAGTTTGTTGGCCTGAACTGACCAGCACGTATTCTTCACCGGGACGAGGTTCCGTGATGATATCTACTTCAGCGAATGCCGAGTAGAACGTGCACACTAACAAGCATCTGTAACAAAGAAAAGGAACACGTAAGATCTCCGTCAGTATGGTAAGTTACGAAAGTTCGTTACAGTACAGAATAGGAGTTAGTGGCCCGTGACTCAGCAAGATGACATCTGGCAGCTGCGCCTACGAGGCATGAGCTTGCGACCCTGCACAAGGAACTCTGAGTCACCAAAAATTTCGTCACTGGTTCCCGAAGTGGGTATTGTTTGTCTACCAACACACTTCAGCTGTTACATGAACATTTCTAATGTGTATGTTTGAATCGACGTATTTAATCACGAGTGTGTACTGTTCATATTAGCACACTTTTTGTACAACATTGGTTTCATAACAGTTATCAATTTGCATAGCTATCGATATTTCTGGCACAGTTACACGATGGGAGCAAAGAAGTTGTGAGAAAATACATCTAGATGACTACAAAACAAGCATTGTCGAACATTGCATTATTGCAAAAGTGATGTGGTCGTGAGAAATGGCGGCGAAAATCAGAACGTGGGTGTATTACGCATTTCGATTCCGCGCAAGTGCAAGTCGATCGGTGAGGCAACTTCGAATGTCGCTGACGAGCACTTTCGCATCGACATCTTACACGAGAGCGCCATCTACTAGCGTGCCTTCCCGCATATAACTCAACAATCATTATGTGCTGCTCAATATTAATTATCCTTCCGGAACAATTTGTCAGTGGATTAGCCAATAGTCGATGTGTAAACTGTTCAATCATATCCCGCAACGAAATTCCAGGGCCAAAAATCCTGTATAAGATTATTCACGGCGGCGCAGTAGTAGTATATAAGTATGCGCTAAAAATATATATTTGACTTTTGTCAACATGTTACTGCGGTTATAAAAAGTGCAATAAATCATACCCCGGCTACTTAATCGAATCGCAAATCCAATTATCGGAGTCGGAAGTGTTTGAGCTTCCGCAAAATTTCTTGTGAGCCTCGACGGCACACGGAAACTGATTGAGGGATAACTAGCGAATGGCGCTATATTAGTATTAAGTCCATCGGATCGCATTAGGCCACCTTCATTTCACTGCGTGCGAGGAAGTGTGTGACAACGCATGCCAGTGAATGCAGTACACCGACCGTGACTGGTTGCGATGCAGCAGTCACTTTATTTGAAGGTTAGTGTGAATACCGAGTGGACAATAACTCCTATACTATGCACAAATACAATACTTCAAACAATCGAAGTTTTGCAATCTCTAGCTATTTATATATTCGATGCAGGACAGACAATAATTGCTTAAAATTACATCCACTACAAATCTCTGTGTAAGACATTTTATTGTCGCTTTCATGCGAACAGGATATAGTTTACATTATCCACATTTAAGAATCGTACTGAAGCTGTGTGATAAAATGGTAAAAGACGTGTAGCCGCTTCCAGCAAAACTTGTACTTGAATATCCGCTTTCCATAATAACAATACGTAATTTCCTGTATGTCAATTTGACATCAAATAGCGTCGTTAAACTGATTATTAATCTTACATAAATATTATGGAAAATGATTGAGATAATGAGATAATGAATGTAGCCTCAATTCCGAAGTAGAGTGTAACCAGATCAGTGCCTACGTTTGTACCGGTTCAATTTCACTAGATGTAAGGTCGCGAGCGCAAGGCTAGGTGAGCGTAACACAGGAACGATACACAAAGACATGATACCGCAGACACTAGTCTCCGCTTTAGCCAGTAAGTCGGTTTTATTCACACCCTGCAAATGAATTGTAAAGAGTCTTATGGTCAAACACATTCGACCTATTTTGGTTTCACAAGTATTGTACGTTTTAAATTATGATCCCAACATGCAACATGAATACTCTCATGATCTTTAAACTTTACAGAGTATCGCAACGTGCTTCGGAGGGTTCAGAAAGTTCAAGGCATTTCTGTCTATTTGCACTATTTGGGTCCTAGACGTGTGAACCTGCATTAGTACTTATAGGCAGATGTAGGAATATGCATGGGTGCTACTACTTAAACACTATTTGCCTGTAAGTATTAAAAATGTTAAATAATAAAATTTGTTTTTTTTTATGTAATATTATTTCTAAACGATAAGGTTGGGTTGTAACATTAAAAAAATATAAGTGTTTATTTATGGTCAGACCAGTTTAAGGTATTAGACATTCTTAAAATACATCACAAAAGTTATTTAAAATAGATTGGCCTTTATCTAAATGCTGTGACAAATTGTGCTCCACCTGAAACTTTGCACAATGTTTCTTTTTATAGCGTGCGCCTGAGCAGACTCGTTGTTTACGCGATAGAAAACATCGTTTCATAACGCCAACTAATTACATGTCAAACTTGCTCACTCTTGTTAAGTTTCTAAATATTTTAATAGTTAGTGATAAGGTGGAAAGGTATGTTGGAATTTTGCAGAAAGTGGAGAATTATGAGTAGGTGCCTCCTATACAACAAAAAAGGCAACAAGTCAAGTTTTAGCTAGAGCACACTCATCGTTTGTGCTGAGTTAACGCTCGTGACTTGATTGCATCTAGGTTCGGCAACCCCACGCTTCCTCTCATGGCGCTCGCGCTGGCGCGTGGTGCACCGGAGGAAGCCACAGCATGACAGTGCAATCTCCCGGGAAATTGTGAGATCTGTGCGTGACAAGAAAGTATTGCCCGCCAACTCTTTCACTGCTCATCGCATGCAACATTACCATCTGTTGATTAAATACCACCGCAGAGGTAAAGGTTAAACTCTCTCCGGGCAAAAACAAGTTTTGCATAACTAAGTTACTAATACTTGTCTGCAACTTGTTCGTCTACATTGTTTCACTTTCCACAATAAAGGATGTTCTCATGCTATATGGAGGAATTTTAGTTTCGAACGCTTAAAACTTCGCTCTAAACATTTCGTAATTACTCAAAAATCTCAAGATCCGTGGAACAAAGTGTCTCTTAATACGATTCTCGGTCACAATTACGCAAGAAATCTGACAAATTGTAATGCAATGACACTTTATAATTACAAACATACATTCTAGGAGGTTTGTAATAATCGTGTGAACATTTAACATTAAGATAATGAATATCTGACATAGCTTCAACTCATTGTATACAAACTTTACACCACATAAACATTGGGCAACTGCGACGGATGGTAGATGCAAGGTTAAGCTAATATAGCTTATATATTTTAATTATCTTACTCGTTATACGTATAGTTAACTTACTGAATGGCACCTCTACAAAGCAACTCAGTCCATTGTTGGGTTGGCCATGGCGCCGACGAAAATCACAATACCAACAAAATTAAATATACTTTATTTCATATTGTTATGGTGATCATAATAATATGTATAAAATACATTGTATACTATATTATATACTGTATATTCTGTACTGTAATTAGACAATTTTATACAAAAGTAATTTTTATATTAAAAATAAACAAAATAAATTATGTAAGATCTTAATGCACCAATAACGAAATCGACTTTATTTCTATGAATAAACATAACAAGATAACCCTAGCAATCGTCGCATTATTCCGAAATAAAAGTGGTTACATTAACACGTATGTACTAGTAAGTAGTTTATTCATATTATTATTAATCAAAGTCCGGTGGAAAACGGGTTTAGAGGAAATCTTGAATGTCGTAGCCATCATACATAGGTACATGCTATTTGGACAAAAGTGGTGATTGTTACTCGTGGGAGCTCAGTATCAAAACAGGAGGGGTCAAGGACGGCCCATATATTCCCACACATTCATATTGCATACTTGTACTATCAATTTGTATACCAACCAAACAAAAAACTACTACTAACAAACTGCGAATGAAAACTACCGGTACACAGCGTTTAAACACCGGATAAATTCTATTTTCGGAAATAATAAACAAACTCATTCAAATTACAAAAAAAAGAAAATCATAAAACAAACAGATATTTAACAGCGGAATACTAAAAACTAAGCTGTAGGAACTTGGTTTCGAAAATCTCCTGCGCAACATTCAATTTGCATAAACAATTTCTAAAGAGGACGTCTCTGCACACTCGTGCACCGCCTACTTTAATAATAATTGGTTAATTGATGACACTTAGGACGAAGACCTATAATTAATACTTTATAGTCGTAAAAACTTATTCATCTTTAAGGATGTGAATTTTGCAATTAGGTTCAAATGTCGAGGCACATAATTGTGTAATTAGATAACAGTATACTTTCAACTTAATATATAACCTGGGTTATTCTAATAATATGTAGTTGTTAAAAGCTCATATGATTAGAAATAGTTCATTATATAATAAAAGTATTACATTCAGACGATGCTACATGGAAACACACCAACTATACAATATTGTTGTACGAGGTATATATGGGTAAATATCATTTATTAGCAAAACCGATTGATAGATTGATTCGTACAAATACTTATTTGAGTAACAAACAACCGCGTGTACAACATTATAAAATCCGTCACTTTGACATTAGCGTGTGCAGTTAGCTCACAAGTCACGGATTACGAGATGTTTGCATAGGTGCGCAAGCGCATGGAACATCTCCTAACTGCAATTTCGATTGCAAGCAGTTAGGTAAGAGCCGCTGTAACGTTAGGTCGTGCCAAATTGTATTATAATCGCTCAACACTTGAATCATTCTTTCCTGTGTCTACACAAGTAGGCACCAAGTCCGTCAGCTACATGCGACTCACCTTGATTTTACAAAAGCTGTTCAGATGTTCTACAATTTTGGCAAGAAAAACTTAAAACACATTTTGAGAATCTTTAACACAACATAAAACGCATGTGGTTTAAAAATATTTCCAGATTCCTTTCAATTTCAAATGCATGTAGCTAAAAAATTACTTGAAAGAATAGTTGGCGGTAGAAGTGGAACGAACATGTGCTAAATAGTTTGAATTCTTCGATAGTCACGGATCTGTTGGTATAAAAACAACTTTTGCAATAACAGCCGTATCAAATTGGCATTAAAGCTCGCTACCCAGTAAAACTGAGTAGTGAGTGGTAT